GCTGGAGGGGGTTTTAACACCTATGTTAGGACACCCAGTTTGGTTCCCATGACCTTTTTTTGGAGGAACCTCATTGGTTGAAATAGAATATAATGACACCATTCTATTTATTTATTTTTAGGTAATTAACAATGGATTCCCTTGATCCTATGCTGACGGACCCCTTGGATTTGGGGCCAAGTGTAGAGAATAATGGAACAGGAATCATGGAAGAATGCCTTCTGAGGGGAACAAGAGTCAGTCTACCTGAAGACCTTCTGGAAGATGTGAGTCATATCAAACATTTACCTTCTTTACAGTCTTGGATAGATTATATTTTTAATAATATATTTACTTTGTGTGTATTTTGTGATCAGAAATTAAAAATTTTATGTGCAAATCCACACCTCTTTATTCTTTAAATGGGACCTCCATCTTCTTTCACCTGGCAGTCAGGGAGCTAAGATGGAGGTGGCTCTCTCTATACTGAATGCCAGGTGTAAAGGGCAAAGCTTATAACAATGATTGACAGGGAGCTAAGATGGAGGTGGCTCTCTCTATGCTGACTGCCAGGTGTAAAGGGCAGAGCTTATAACAATGATTGACAGGGAGCTAAGATGGAGGTGGCTCTGTCTATGCTGACTGCCAGGTGTAAAGGGCGGAGCTTATAACAATGATTGACAGGGAGCTGAGATGGAGGTGGCTCTCTCTATACTGACTGCCAGGTGAAAAGGGCAGAGCTTATTACAATGACTGACAGGGAGCTAAGATGGAGGTGGCTCTCTCTATACTGTCAGTCATTGTAATAAGCTCCTCCCTTTTCACCTGGCAGTCAGTATAGAGAGAGGTGGAGAAAGAAGAGAAACAGACACATTGTTTCATTTCCTCAATCTTTCATATAAACCTAAAAAAATGAGAATCTCCTGAAAAATGTCAGTACGTGTTTTCAAGTGATTTTTAGTGTTTTTTTTTAATTTAATTTCAAACATTCTGCAGAAGCGACAGTTTCTTGTCCATGCTTGACTTGTTTGTTTTTGCGACAGCCTGAGCTGTTCTTTGATGTGGTCAGTTTGGACACTTGGCAGAATGTCCTATCTGATTCTCAGAGGGAACATCTCAAACAGTTCCTTCCATCCTGTCCGGACGGCAATGATGAGCACCAGGAGGAGACAATCAAGTCACTGTTCAGAGGAGACAACTTTCGGTTTGGTAACCCCCTTCAAATTGCACAGAAGCTGTTCCGGGGTAAGACTTTTTCTTTTTTAACATCACAGTGCCATTTTCCACATGTTTTGATAATTGCTCTAACCCAAGGAAGGCCAGGAGACAGACTCTCGTACTGCCTTAAAGAGACCCTACTATAAACTGTATAGTTCTTGCACAGCTGGTAAGGGTATTACAGCTGCAGTGATTTCAGAGAGTTAGAGCACTCAGAATCACTTCTCTTCCTCGCATTCAAGGAGGAAACTTTATTTTTTCCTGCCCGTCCAAGCATTGCACACTATGATGGCGCTTGTGCTGCAGTCCTCTTACATCCAACTGTGATTGGAGCTGCCAGTAAACAGAAAGCAGCTGCTATTAGCATTCCTATTTATCTCGTCTGATCAATGACAATTCTGCCAAGTGCTTAGTGACAAGTCAAATATGCTCCACTGCCACTGAAAAGATTTAACCCACTTCCTTATCTGGGTGGAACATTCTACTAAAGAATGTGTGGTTTAAATGTACTTTATTTTACAGATTATTTAATGCATTATCTATGCAACGTATAGATCAAGGTCGCTTCCAGTTTTGAATATACCTTTAAGGCTGGCAAAGCATTGTATGAGTTGTTCTACAACATCTGGGGCCAGTCTTCTTCCTCTAATTTTAGCTGAAAGGAAAAAGAGTTTTTAATGTGACTCCGACCTTAAAATTTAATTTGTATGCATCCCATAGAGCTCGCTTTTCTAATTAATCATATACTAATTTTATTTTGTGGGACAGATGGGCATTTTAACCCAGAAGTGGTGAAGTATCGACAGCTTTGCATTAAATCCCAGTACAAGCGCTACGTCAACTCTCAGCAGCAATACTTTCATACCTTGCTAAAACAGATCCTGGCGTCACGAAAGGTTTGTTTAAAACAATTCCGTGTACTGGAATCATCCATTGCTCTCATTTGTCCTTCCACAAGAGACCCTGTAATATTATATAAACAAGGTGGAAGCACATTTTTTGATTTGAAATAAGTTAACTTCTGTCCTTCTGTCCTTCTATCACCAATGGTTGGTTTGTGATGTCCCTCATTCATCCTCTTGTCTTGGGTTAAACCTTGATTGAATATAAATTAAAGATCACTATGAAGTTACAACTTATTGCATAGAACAAATAGTTTATATTTTATTGTTTTTGATTATTAAACATTCACAGGTGCTGCTAGATCTGGCAAGAAAAAATGGTCCTGACCTGGTGATGAAAAGAAAGCCTCCATCAGCAAGAACCATGCCTGAAGAGAAGGAGAGAAGAGCCCAACGCAGATACCTGAAGATTCTCCGCGAGGTGCAGGCCGAATGTGGGGACAGCACGTTGTCCTCCGAGGAGGAAGGTATGATGTGGATATAAAGATGGCTACGCTTTACATAAAATGTTTCAGGCGTATTCATTAAACTCAAACTTTCAGTGAATTGAATTGGAATATATAGTCTGTGACTGTAAGGGAGTTTGGAGAATATTTCTTCTGAGTATTGCACTGAGCAACCGTCGAGCCACTGTCTGGCGTCCACTTGCTTTACGTACTGACGCTTGATGTTAACTTTTACTAGGTCTGTTTTTAGTCTGAAGTGACATGTGACTGACAGGCTCTGAAGATGTAGACATTGCAAAGTCTGTGCAATGCCATTTCTCTGAAACCCATTATTTTGTGATTAATATATCGGAGCCAAATATGAATGTTACTGTCTGGACTGATTACATATCTCTTTACCTGGGGACAGTCTCCATGGACTATCTGCCTTCATTTTTCATCCCATTTTGCATTTTCTGTAGATTTAACTTCCTGGCTGCCAGGGTCTCCCAGCCAATCACCAAGTTCTGCTGTACCTGTCCGTGTTGTTCCCACACTCTCCACCCAGGACATGAAATCTGCAGGTGAGCGCAACATGCAATCATCTTCACCGTCTATAAACTGTATGCGTGAGTGTGTTTACAGCTGTAGTGTGAATATCTTTTGTTTCAATTTACTTTTATTAAAGACAAACTGGAATTCAACAACGATGATTTAAAGCTGATGCTGAGAAGACATTGTGAAAAGCGAAAACGTCAGCCGGTAAGAAATGAAGGCGTACTTTTTTAATTGTGAGATCCTTAGATGCCCTTTTTATGAAATGATCACCAGGCCCTCTCTTCGTAACCTAGTGCTTAATTAGAAAAGTGATATATTCCCTCTTGGTCAATATTAAATGTAGCGAATTCTGTGTGAATCCTTTTTTACCATGATTTCTTACCAGTTTCATTTTATGCTGAATGTTTGTATTGCACAGGATCACCCTGATCTTATGACAGATGACTTGACATTGAATGATATCATGTCTCGCGTGAATGTTGGAAGGAAGGGATCCCTGGCAGGTAAGGAAGCTTGGTGTGCACCCGAGCCACTGCATGTTTTCATATCTGTCCCTCTAGCCGCTTCTGGATTATTGTCCACGGTATATTTGAGTGTGACGAAATGCTTTTTGTCACTGGATTTTTTTTAAATTTATTTATTTATTTTTTTTAAATTCTTTTTTTCATCTCGACAGTCAGCGAACATAACAGTAGCCACATGACTTGTGCAAAATTCAGTTATAGTGCAATATAATATCTCATGTTAGTGAAAGAGGAAAAGGCAGCATGCCTTTGAACAATACATATTCTACACAAGTAATTACAATTTGGCCGATCGTCAAGGAGTTTTGGAGTAAGAATGACATTGCCAGTATACCAGACATGCGTTTATGTATGCAGTGATAACTTCACCTAACCATGAGCTTTCCATAGCGTAAGGGTGGGGCATCCACCGCTACTCGAGGGTATCAGCAGAAGCCTCCCGTATTGTACACCAGTTATTTTCTATGTCAGATACTCTAACAACATCCACTAGTCCTGCCTCCTGGACTGGACTAGCGAAACAGGGAGAGAGAGAACAGAGATAAAGAGGGGAAAGTGAGTGAGGGGTGGGACCTATTATGAATTTGTTGAACAAAGGTGACAAGCACCTGTTGGTGCTATGTGGGGGGAGGAGGGGGGGACCGTGTGGTCTGTGCGGTTGGGTATCTATCTCAGCCCTGCCCCAAGTCGCTGCTATCCCAAGGTTCCCATATTTTAAGGAATCTTTGAAGTGAGCCTTTTAATCTGGCTGTCAATTCATCCATCAGATGGATCTCTCTGATTCTCGTTATAACCTCTGGGACCTTTGGGGCGTCCAGTTGCAGCCATGTTGCCGTCACTGCCTTTCTAGCTGCTAAGGTGAGTTTATGTATAAGTTTTTGTTCCGCCCTGGTCCAGCCCTCGACCACGCGGTTGAGTAGGTATACCCAGGGATCTAGTTTCAGGGTCCTGGAGAATATTCTCCGTATCAGTTGTTTGATTGCGGACCAGAAGAGGACCGTCTTTGGGCACCCCCACCACATGTGGATATAGGTGCCTATTTCCCCGCAGCCCCTCCAGCATGTGTCAGTAGTGGTTTTATGCATTCTGTATAATGTCTCGGGGGTGGTGTACCATCGGAGCATTGTTTTAAAGGATTGCTCCTGTAAGGTTACGCAAACTGAGGTCACTGGATTTTTAGGTGACAAGCTGCCCTTTGCCACTGGGTGTTGGAGGAGCCTGATTGCCAGCCTCATGACTATGGCCCTGGGTCATACGGCCCTTTTCAAACATTATTTGGGCTAATGGATTTATATTGTGCTGCTGCTGGACCTTTAAGAACTGCATTATGGTTTATGGACTTGTATTGGACCATGCTGGCCCTTTAAGAACCGTCTGGGACATATTGAGACTTTGTGTGACAATGCCCCTTTAAGACTATGTCCCCAGACCTTTAAAATACTTTGTCTATGGCTTTCTCCCACTTGGTTCAGTAAATGGGGTTTACTGAACCAAGTACCACACAGACGGACCACCCAGAAGTGGAACTGTGCAGGCAATTTTCCTCCCAGGCTGGGAGCCTGCTGTAGGTAAATTGCCGACCGCTGGTTGGCGGCAGCCATCTTTGTTCATTCGAACGAGGTCAGCGGTATGTGTAGCCAAATTCATTGAACTGAAATCGGCTACACATTTTCACGAACACCGCTGACCCTTACCTTCTCCTACACTCCGTTTTCAGCTACAGAGACTAAGTTCCGTTCGGCAGTTTGAACTCACTGCTATACTGAGCCAAATGCACGAACGGCCCCGTGGGACTTAGTCATTTTTCTCCATAAAATTGACCGGCCGCACAGCCCAAATCTATGGATCTGTTTTGTGCAGGAAAATGTGCTTGCGATCGGTCATAAAGGACTTCCGTCTAACTTTTTATCTACTGGATGGATTTGTCTGATTTTTGAGAGTGTTTGTTTAAAGTGTGCTGATTCTGAATGTATATGTTTTATGTGAATATGATGCATATTATTAAAGTTACAGTGTATGTATAAAAAAAGTGTATTTTCCCTGCTTGTGATAAATATGTTAACCCATTGTGTACCATAATTATATCACAGGCAGAGGGGAGGATTTTGTATGTTTGTGCTGGTGTGTTTTACGGTTTTCCTGTAAATGATTGGTTGTACTGTGTCCCACCCTGTGGGATGTCTCCTTGCATGGGGACTTGCATAAAAGCCAGTGTGTGGTCATTAAAACTGCAGATCATCTTGTACCTTCATGAAGATTCGGCTCATGTTTGGGGGATTGGAGAACTACACTCTGGGGATTGCTATAATCACTATACTCCCCAGGGTATAATTACTAAGCTCTGCTAAGAGCTTGTTCCTGTTCCTGCTCTCTGGAATTCGGAGAGGTTGACCTACTGGAAGCTGGACCCTGGTCTTGGGTCCAGAGTGGGTGGAGACGGCGAAACCCCAACCAAGCTGCGGCGGTTCGTGGGAGTCTACAGTGGTTATGGTGTCTGGCGGAGTGCTTGGAGTCCTCGGAAAGCACTAGGAGCATCTATCAACGGAAGGTACCCGGTCGGGTTGCCAGCGGTTCCGTTACATTGAGTACTTACATTATTCAGGTGTTTATTTACTAATACAGGAACTGTGCGAAACTAACGAGGATTAAAAATTTTGGTCAAAATAGCTGAGGAGTCAAATGTTTCCAATCTTGCTATATTGGCCGAATATTTTCAGTTGCCATATATTTTATTTAAGTAAACTTAAGCTTTGTAATGTCGATGTGTTATTTTATAGACTGGCACAGAGACTGAGAATAATTTTATTTCACTTTTTTATTGACTTTTCTTAAAGCATTTCATTATATTCCATTATTTTTTTGCCTAATATTTTGGTGCAATTATAAACGGGTTTACTCCTTAATTATCTCAATACTTCACGGCCTGGTTTGACATACTATATGTCACTCTGGTCCTTGTGTACCTGGGCCGATTTCTGCACTTAATACGTACTTTTATGGTTTTAGCACTTTTTGACCTGGCTACAATGAAGAAACGTGTGAAGGAAAAAGATGAGAAGAAGAAAAAAAAACTGAAGACCATAAAAACCGAAGTGGAAGATTATCCTGAGATGCCTGACGTGCCCGATGTGATGCCTCCCCTCCTACCCCTGGAGACTCCCCCTGTTAGCTTGGCAGCTGTGAAGGAAGAGTGGGTTTTATTATTGTGATATAATAATATATAATAAATCTAAATTACCTAACACTGTGGATCTAGAAATTAATTTCATTCGACACTAACTACATCTGCTCTTTATTTTTTAAAAATGTTTTATTTAAACTATATTCTCCAGTTATTAATTTTTTTTAAAAAAAATTATTTTTTGTCTACACACTTTATAGTCTGTTACTTGACCTGTTCCCTGTTTAGAACCGTATTTTGCATCTTTGCATGAAATAACCTTTTTCTTATTAACGGTTACTGTATCTCAACTCTGTCTTTTTTTAAAAAATTTTTTCTACAGACCAATGGAAGATGTAAAGCCCCCTCTCGCCTTTAATGAGATCTCTGCGTGCTTTTTTAGTCTCCTGCTGGACATTCTGATGGTGGAAGGTCCGTCTAGCCTGCCACTGGTAAGAATGGGAATTACAGGCAATACGTTGAAATTAGTTATTTTTCTGTTTATTGGGTGAATAAATGTTCCGGTGTTCTCTTATACTGGGGACTAAAGTTCTAGTTCTCTCCTATAATTGAGGAGAAGAAAGGTTCTGGTACTCTACAATACTGGGGAATAAAGGTTCCAGGACTTTCTTACTAAGGGGGAAATAAAGGTCCGGTACTCTCCTGTACAGGGAGGAAGAAAGGTTCTGGTACTCTCCTATACTGGGGACTAAGGTTCTAGTTCTCTCCTATTATTGAGGAGAATAAAAGTCTGGTACTCTCGTATAATGGGGGCATAAGCTTCTTGTACTTTTCATATTGGTCAGTGTATTTAAAAACAAAAACAAGTTTCAGGGAATTTTTCTCTGTGACTAAAGTGAGAAAACAGTACTACTGAAAATGTACTTTAAGGTCACGTTTTGATTTCTTGTCAGCTCGAAGACAAGGTGTCTGATTGGCAGATGTCACCAGCGAGCACCTTAAACAGCTGGTTCTCTGCCGACTCCAACTGGATCGACCTGGTCCACCCGGCTCTTCTTTATCTATCTGGGGAAAGCAAAGGTGAGGCTTCAATCTCCTACGGTCTCTGCAAACTGGTGCTAATCAAAGTAAAACATGTTTTTGCAAAGGAGAAGTGGACTTAAAAAAAGGTTTTTGTTTTGTTTTTTAATGCAGGAACTGGGGATAATCCAGATCATCGATTTATTGTGTATTACAAAGTTGTTTCATTTATTCCATTAAGTTTAATAGTGAAGCCCGTTATTTTATGCTGATGGGCCAAAAAAAGGCAAAAAAAAACCTTGTAGCCATTTCCAAGTATGTATCAAAATGAGAGAGAAATTTTGGCTCCATAATGGCAGTCAGATTTTTCGCTAAGATTTCTCGTTGGATCAACAACCCTTTTACATAGATATCAATAGTATCCTTGAATTTCTGTTTATGCAAAAAAAAGCAATCAAGCCTTTATTTGGAAGTTTGGAATCCAATTTTGTTGAGTGACAGGCAACAGAGTGTTGTAGTCAACGGAGTATATTCAAAGCAAGGTCTAGTTACCAGTGGAGTACCTCAGGGACTCATTCTCTTTAATATTTTTATTAGTGATATTGCAGAAGGTCTTGATGGTAAGGTATGTCTTTTTGCTGATGATACTAAGATATGTAACGAGGTTGATGTTCCTGGAGGGATAAGCCAAATGGCAAATGATTTAAGTAAACTAGAAAAATGGTCAGAGTTGTGGCAACCGACATTTAATGTGGATAAGTGCAAGATAATGCATCTTGGGTATAAAAACCCATGGGCAGAGTATATAATATTTTATACCCTACTAACCTCAACATCTGAGGAAAGGGATTTAGGGGTGATTATTTCAGATGACTTAAAGGTAGGCAGACAATGTAATAGAGCAGCAGGGAATGCTAGCAGAATGCTTGGTTGTATAGGGAGAGGTATTAGCAGTAGAAAGAGGGAAGTGCTCATGCCATTGTACAGAACACTGGTGAGACCTCACTTTGAGTGTTGTACGTTGTACCGACAAATTACTTTCAGTGCCCTCTCTAAGATTATTTATAAACTGATTAAAGAGAAGTGGACTCAGGACAGAACACTTAGGCACTCCACTTACCAATTTTATCCAATTTGAATATTTTCCATTTGCAACTACTCTCTCCACTCGTTTAAGCCAATGTTCTATCCAATGATTTTTTTTGTATAAACCAGCTGATTTCAGTTCCGTTTTAGTAACCTTTTGTGTCTAAATTTATATAATGCCTTCGCAAAGTTCAAGTACATCAAATCTACTGGATCACCCTGCTCTATATTCCCACTAACTTATTCATTCAACACATTTAAGTTAGTTTGGCATGACCTGTCTTTCATGAAACCATGTTGATTTCTGCTAATGATAGTTTTGTTTAAAAGGAATTCTTAAATATTATCCCTTAACAGCCCTTCAAATAATTTCCCAACCACAGATATTAAGTTCACAGGTCTGTAGTTTCCAGGTTGAGCTTTTGAACCATTTTTAAATATAGGCACCACATCTGCTTTTCTCCATTTCTCTGGTACAATTTCAGAAAGAAAAGAATCCTGAAAAATGAAACATAGTGGCATGGATATTTCTACACTAGCTTCCTAAAGGAAGCGTGGATGCATACCATATGGGCCTGAGGCTTTGCTTACATTAACTTCTTATTTAATTTCACTTTATCCTGTGTTAACCAATCATCTGTTTGCTGTATGGCCTTTGTATCTGTGTCTTCTAACCTTTATTATGTGTATGTTGGCACTGGCCATCATCCTCCTGCTCCCTTTTGCCGCACAGATTGGCATTTAATCCAGCAGAGACTTTCATTAGCGATTAATTTAGGTCTTTTTGGTATGAACCCTGTTGGGAAGTCAGTGAATAGGTAGCCATAATGGTCAAGCTAGAATGAAATCTGGTTGGGGTAGCACTGATCGGTACTTGTCAGTCTGAACCTTAATATCGGGTGTACTGCTGAATGAACACAGGGATCACCTGTATGTAACTGTCAGGTGACCTAGAAAATTAAACCGGAAAATGTAAGGTAAAAATGAGTTGTAATGATTGAGCCATGTACAAGCTTAATTTTAAAAGATGTTTTAACAGAATACCCGCCCTGTTTATTCCATTACCACTCCACACTCTTGACCTGTTTCCCCTGATTTGTGTGTTTAATTCTTCTTTATAAAACAATCCTCTCTCTGTCATTATGTGCAGGGACCTCTTCCAGTTTCACTCCGTTTGTGGAGTTCAAGGAGAAGACACAGCAGTGGAAAGCAGTCGGTAGGTGCTTAAATAATACTTCATTTTATACATTTACATTTTATCCGGATGGACTAATTCAAGTTACCAGAGAGTTTCTGAGAGGGTATAAGCAATGCAGAGGGTTTTGAACACTATGAAACCTAGGTGTTTGAAATTAACACTTAGATGGGTTTAGCTTCTCATAATTGTTATTGTAGTTAGGTCAGATTCACATAAATCATTTCTTATGGCTTTAAACTTTACTAGAGAATTTGGAAATTTACTGAAATTCGTTTAATCAGCTTTTTTTGCCAAAAATAATAAATCATAAACTCTTATTAAGACAAGCATTAAAGAGATGGTGTATGTAAAAAAATAAATAAAAGGTATTAATAGGAGCTACAGACAGCATTCTTGAATCTGTATTTTCTTTAGTCAAAACATAAGAGGTGTATTGACATATATGTCTGTAATAAGAATGTTTGTATTATACATTTCTAAAGCGAATAAAACCCATCAATAAGATAATCTTTACATGTCCTAGGCCATAAACGTTAACGCAGTAACTGGTGGACCTGAGAAGAGCTGCTATTTTCTAATGTCAAACCTTAAAATGAATATATAGCTTGTCATTACAAAATTCTGTTAGTCTAATAAAAAAGGTATTACAAGAAACTAATTGTATCTGTTATTTTACATCTGCATCACTGGACTAATATAGCTAATAAATATATGTGTGTATATGTATGTATGTGTGTGTGTGTGTATATATAATATGTGTGTGTGAAGGCTTGCCTGGAATTGTGGGAGGGGCGTGGTGATCCTATTTAAACTTTTAAACTCACCCCCCTTTCTCTGCATCACAGTGTAGTTTTGACTTCGGCAGGCATCACTTCCGGTTCGCGGTCTGTGTGTTTCAGTTCGGCAAACAGCTGCTGTTTTCCCACACGCTCAGGGGCACAAAAATCGTGAGTCTTGCATACCCTGGTCCCCTCACCATCTGCCACACGCAGGATGGTCCATAGAGGTGGGGGGGCTGGCAGTAAAATGCCCGGCACAGCAGCCAGAGACCACACAGGTCTCCACACTGTTGACAGGTTTCAGCTTACTTAGTGCAATACTAAACGAAGCTTACATGCTGCTGGGGAAGTTAAACTGTAAATACTGCAGCACATACCATAGTACAAGTACTGGGCTTCATAATGTATACTGTTATGACATACTACTCACTGCATACTATTTTATACCTAGCACATACTAACTAAACTGCATACTAATGTATACTTTATGTCATACTACTTACTGCATTCTACTGTATACTTAGCACTTACTAACTACACTGCATACTAATGTATACTTTGTCAAACTACTTACTGCATACTAATGTATACTTTAGGTCATACTGCTTGCATACTAATGTATACTTTGTCATACTACTTACTACATAATACGGTATACTTGGCACATACTAACTAAACTGCGTACTAATGTATGCTTTGTCATACTACTTACTGTATACAGGGAGTGCAGAATTATTAGGCAAGTTGTATTTTTGAGGATTAATTTTATTATTGAACAACAACCATGTTCTCAATGAACCCAAAAAACTCATTAATATCAAAGCTGAATATTTTTGGAAGTAGTTTTTAGTTTGTTTTTAGTTATAGCTATGTTAGGGGGATATCTGTGTGTGCAGGTGACTATTACTGTGCATAATTATTAGGCAACTTAACAAAAAACAAATATATACCCATTTCAATTATTTATTATTACCAATGAAACCAATATAACATCTCAACATTCACAAATATACATTTCTGACATTCAAAAACAAAACAAAAACAAATCAGTGACCAATATAGCCACCTTTCTTTGCAAGGACACTCAAAAGCCTGCCATCCATGGATTCTGTCAGTGTTTTGATCTGTTCACCATCAACATTGCGTGCAGCAGCAACCACAGCCTCCCAGACACTGTTCAGAGAGGTGTACTGTTTTCCCTCCTTGTAAATCTCACATTTGATGATGGACCACAGGTTCTCAATGGGGTTCAGATCAGGTGAACAAGGAGGCCATGTCATTAGATTTTCTTCTTTTATACCCTTTCTTGCCAGCCACGCTGTGGAGTACTTGGACGCGTGTGATGGAGCATTGTCCTGCATGAAAATCATGTTTTTCTTGAAGGATGCAGACTTCTTCCTGTACCACTGCTTGAAGAAGGGGTCTTCCAGGAACTGGCAGTAGGACTGGGAGTTGAGCTTGACTCCATCCTCAACCCGAAAAGGCCCCACAAGCTCATCTTTGATGATACCAGCCCAAACCAGTACTCCACCTCCACCTTGCTGGCGTCTGAGTCGGACTGGAGCTCTCTGCCCTTTACCAATCCAGCCACGGGCCCATCCATCTGGCCCATCAAGACTCACTCTCATTTCATCAGTCCATAAAACCTTAGAAAAATCAGTCTTGAGATATTTCTTGGCCCAGTCTTGACGTTTCAGCTTGTGTGTCTTGTTCAGTGGTGGTCGTCTTTCAGCCTTTCTTACCTTGGCCATGTCTCTGAGTATTGCACACCTTGTGCTTTTGGGCACTCCAGTGATGTTGCAGCTCTGAAATATGGCCAAACTGGTGGCAAGTGGCATCGTGGCAGCTGCACGCTTGACTTTTCTCAGTTCATGGGCAGTTATTTTGCGCCTTGGTTTTTCCACACGCTTCTTGCGACCCTGTTGACTATTTTGAATGAAACGCTTGATTGTTCGATGATCACGCTTCAGAAGCTTTGCAATTTTAAGAGTGCTGCATCCCTCTGCAAGATATCTCACTATTTTTGACTTTTCTGAGCCTGTCAAGTCCTTCTTTTGACCCATTTTGCCAAAGGAAAGGAAGTTGCCTAATAATTATGCACACCTGATATAGGGTGTTGATGTCATTAGACCACACCCCTTCTCATTACAGAGATGCACATCACCTAATATGCTTAATTGGTAGTAGGCTTTGAGCCTATACAGCTTGGAGTAAGACAACATGCATAAAGAGGATGATGTGGTCAAAATACTCATTTGCCTAATAATTCTGCACTCCCTGTATGTAACACATTCTAACTGAACAGCATAATGATGTATACTTTATTTTCATACTGCTTGCTGCATACCACTATATACTTATTATATACCAATTAAGCTGCATACTAACGTATATTATTTCATGCTAGATTGCCACATTCTACGTACGGCACTACAGTAATAAATACTGCTATGTGACACACTACTAAGCTGCTCTACGGTATTACATACTACTGGGCTTATCACTAAGGTTCAAACGGTGTTACATTCTATTGCGTTACATACTATGGAATGCCATAATACTATATGACTTGTGGCATACTATGGTGTTATATACTACCATGGCACAAGTGGTTCGACAGGCGGTGGTATTTCATGCCACTTGACTACGTGACCGTAGGGCACATTCTAAGATACGCGCTACGCGATAAAGGAGTGCGGCCGCTTACATGTTATAGTGGTGCAGGTTGCTGTAGATTACAATGTGTTCACTTGCCTTACGTGCATTATACTACAAAGCTAGTATCAGTGATCACATTACTTATTTCTCTGCTTACTTTTCAGGTTCAAGTTGACTCAAATCAACTACGTTCATTACTATCAAATCTTTATTTAACATTGTCCAGTAAGTAAGGTGTTAAGTAAGGGGTACTCTCAGCATAACAAAGGGAAGTACGTTTATTACCATGTATAACATATACTCCTCTCTACTATCACCAGGTATAAACCTCGCTTCCATTAGTTTAGTGGTGGAAGTCTCAGGTTCTCTGTTGGTTGTCACCTAATTTTTGATCCAACAACAACAAGCGGTCTCAGGTACATTTTGCCTAAACACCCCCACCCCTGCCCCATTAGAGCTTATGATTTAGTATTACTGGCATATCGAGGATAGGCGGCCACTAGTAAATTATCCGGGCTTCTTGGCCTTAGTAGTAGTGGTCCCGCGAGGCCAACCCATTTCCTCCACGCTTGAGGACATTCGCCCCTCGTGCCAAATCATAGTTAGCCGCCTCGCACGGTTGCATAGAGAGGGCCTCACTTGTCACTCCCATTCTATATTATGCGCTTTAATCGTCATCGAGAGGGCAACACCCCGCCACAATGTTTAGGTGGCAACAATTCCCTCGCGCCGATCGATAGAGCCTCTCAAGCCACGTGGCAGCTAGCAGGGCCTCACCTGTCACCACGCCTAGGAAATTGTTTCGCCATCCGGCATTAGCTAGCCAGCCAGTAACCAAAAGATGGTATAATGGCTGATGGTTTGATTATTTCCTTTTAGTATGTCACATCTACCGGATGACACAGAAAATGTATCTCTACCCAGTTCTCCGGCCAGATCCTTGTCACCTACTCGTAAAGGCGACGTTGGGAGTTCAACCTCAATAAGGTCATGGACCATCCCTCGCATTACGGCAGAACTCAGGAGACGCAGCATTCCTTTTCCTGCCACGGCCAGGAAAGCTGAGCTCTACAAATTAATGCGGACTCATACTGATAACTCGGGGGCGGGAGAGGGCACAAGTGGTACGGGCAACTCGGACCTACATGCCATGGTCGCTTCACTAGTAGCATCCATGAGCAAGGTCAACGAGAGACCTGATAGGATCGAGGCACGAAGCCCTCCTGTCAGGTTTCCCAGGCCCTCGACAGCCTTACTCACCAATGCTCCACTATTGCAATCGGGTAATTATGTGCCTTCTGGTTCCGAAACTCACATTATTAATCCTCTGCACATGGTCCCAGAAAAGATTAAGAAAGACATCTTGGAGGGGAAGGATGTCAATCTTGTGGCGCTACTTATTGCTTCTCACGATGTCATTGATAACCGCACTTCTGCTTATGGTGATATTTCAGTGGTATTGAAAGCCAGGGACCCTAGACTGAATAAGAAACTGTCCATAACTGATTTTGTCTTGGCTTTTGGTATATACGTGATGTAATTTGTTCTGTTTATCCGCATAGACGAGAGGAACTCGACCTCTACATGCACAAGCTGGTGGACTTGGGAAGCAAATATGGTGGTTCATCCTTTTATGAATATCACCAATCCTTTTCGGCAAGAGCGTCTGCAATATTGGCTCAGTATAACGTCAAAACTGACTGGAGCCGCATGGATACTGAGCTATTTTGTAGACATTTTGCCGGTCTCAAGACACCAGCTTGTGCAGTTTGTGCTTCAACATCTCATTCCTCGGACTATTGTCCCACTATGCCAGAGTCTACACCTGGGACTTTCCGCGAACTACAGACCAGGTTGGACAGATCTGGTAAGGACAAACTTGGTCGCCCTATTGTTTACCTGGGAAAGTCTCAGGTTTGCAATAACTTTAACGTAGGTACATGTGGTTATAGTGCCTGCAGGTTGTTACATGTGCGTTCACACTGTTTTAGGGCACACGCTAAGTCTATGTGTCCCAATAAAAGTCACACTAAACCATACTTGACATCCGTAAAGATTGGTTCTTTGGCACACACATTAGCCTCTCATCCATCCAAACACCTAGTGGACTTTTTGATAGATGGTTTCACGGAGGGATTCCATACAGGGTTGGTTCATACCCCCGCTGGCATTTACGAATGCAACAATTTACAGTCAGCATTTGCAAACGTGGAAATGATCAATGCTCTATTACATAAAGAATTAGAGGATGGGTTTTTATTGGGACCTTTTCACGAGCCCCCATTTTCCAATTGGCGAACCAACCCCATAGGATTAGTCACCGGTAAATCCTCAGGGAAACAGACTTATTTTAGACCTATCAGCACCTCACTCCTTGGCCATACCAAGCCTTAATTCCCTAATTCCATCCGAGGAATTTTCACTCAAGTACACCACTATAGACAACGCTATACACACAATCTTCACAGCTGGCTCAGTAAAACTGACATCGTCAATGCGTTCAAGTTACTACCCATTCGCCCGTCACTATGGCATCTGCATGGTTTAAAATGGAAAGGTGTCTATTATTTTTTCACAAGACTCACGTTCGGGTCAAAAAGCAGCCCAAAAATATTTGACATCTTTTCCGAAACCTCAAAAACAATTGCAGATGCCAGGCCGTTATACATTATCGGGACGACTTTCTGTTCGTTGAGAATAATTCCTCTTCCCCCAGTGATCTGACAAAGGCCATATCATTTTTCCATTCTTTGGGGGTGCCAGTGACCCCCAAGAAAACACAAGGCCCTGACACATTAGTAAATTTCCTAGGTATCCTACTCGATTCAGTAAACTTGGAAGCGAGCTTACCTCCAGGAAAAATTGACAGCATACTACAATCAATTAACAAATTTTTGGTCAATAGGACATGCAATAGGAAGGAATTGCAATCTTTGTTGGGATCGTTGAATTTTGCTGTACGAATCATCCCGCAAGGCAGGGCCTTTATCTCTAGACTCCTTTGCCTCCTCCCTCTCATACCAAATGACATTACTCGTATCAGCTTGGAGGCGCAGGCTACAGCTGATTTGCTAATGTGGCGCAAATTCCTGTTGCAATGGAATGGCAGAAGTATGTTCTTGCCTCCATTGTCTGTCCACTCTCCGGTAATTTGGACAGATGCGGCAGCATCAGCGGGTTTTTCGGCCATATTTGGAAACGAGTGGCTTTGGGATGCTTGGCCAGAGGAGGTCCAACACATTGAAGGTTTCTCACGCACCTCGGCCTTATTTGAGATATACCCCATTGTGGCGGCAGCGGCGGTGTGGGGTCAGTCTTGGGCAGGTAGCTCGGTACGCTGTTTTTCCGACAACCTAGCTACCTGCCACATCATAAACAAAGGCCGATCGGAGTCTCTAACGATCATGAGATTCATGAGAAGACTGACCTGGCTTGCGGCCTGCAATCACTTTTATTTGGTGTGTTCTCATGTACCAGGGGTCTTTAATACTGCAGCTGACAAATTGTCTCGCTTCGAATTCCAGGCATTCAAAGAAACGTTAGCCACGGCCTCCCCCACAGCCACTGCAGCACCATGTTTTCAGGAGCTGGTGATGGACTGAAAGAACTGGCAAAGCATGGGCTCGCCTTGGCTAGTATAGCCCTGTCCGACAATACTAAACGGTCTTACGATAGGGCCTTCAAACTATACAAGAGGTTTATGATAGAACACAACTTGGTGCAGTTTTTGCCATTTCCACACTGGTAGCTTTTGTTTCATTTTGTCATCTTAAACTCAAACTGTCACACAACACCATCAAATTATATTTAACTGGCATACAACAACACATGTATACCTTATACCCAGATAACTCTAGTTTCTTATCTTCTTACCCCATTAAAAACATTCTTAAAGGCGTACAGAAATCCAGTACCACTCCTCCATCAACAAGATTACCGATACATAAGCAGCTATTTAAGGATATGTCCGACTTGTTGGACACGGCCCCATTTGAACACTATACAAACATGGTAATCAAAACTGCCATCTACTTGGCATATTATGGTTTTCTTAGACCTGGCGAGTTTACTATACACGGACATAAATACGCACAAAACTGCCTCAAACGGTCCCATCTCACCAAACTACATGATCACTATATCTTGTCACTACCAGTTACGAAAACAAGCCAACTGGGCAAGATGGTACCAGTCACATATTATCCTACTGCAAACAGATGGTGCCCGGTGAAAGTATTGGATACATACCCCCACTCATTACCACCGCAGTCTGACATCCCGCTGCTAGTCTTACACAAAGAGGTCTTAACAACAGCCAAATTCATGTAATACGTCCGCATGTTACTGACCAGACTAGGTCTGAACGCTGGCAACTTTTCTGGCCATTCATTTTGGATAGGGGCAGCCTCCAGCCAAAATATTCCAGTACATATAATCAAGTCTTTGGGCCGCTGGAATTCCTAAGCCTTTGCTTTGTATATACCTCAACCTGTGTTAGAAAGTAGGGCGGCATTTGTTGAACTGTCATCTTGAGGTATTTTCTTTGCAGTATGTTTTTCTATGCAATAAATATTTTCTTTGGCAAAGACACTGCTTATTTTTGCCCTCTTTATTACAGGCCTACCGCATACGTCGGTTTCGGCACACTTCAACTGACTTGTTCATACCTATGATACATACGATACATATGTTACGTTTCAAGAATAGCACCGAACACAAATGTAAAGGCTTGCCTGGAGTTGTGGGAGGGGCGTGGTGATCCTATTTAAACTCACCCCCCTTTCTCTGCATCACCGTGTAGTTTTGACTTTGGCAGGCCCCACCCACCACTCCCTCAACTCAATTTAATTTATTATGTTATATCTAGGGTGGGCCCTCTATATAACAGGCCTACCGCATACGTCAGTTTCGGCACACTTCAACTGACTTGTTCATACCTATGGTTACACCATACGATACATACGTTACGTTACAAGAATAGCACCGAACACAAACATATATATATATTCTCTAATATTTCTCCAACCAGTATCAATACATCACCCAACCCCACTCCCCCTGCCATCCTAAGCTCATTTACACCTGCTACAGCACAAGAGGTTTCTGCTCTGCTCCTGTCCTCCCGCCCCACCACTTGCTCCCTCGATCCTATTCCCTCGCATCTCATCCGCACTTTGTCTCCCTCTCTTGCTCTTCCTCTCGCTAACATTTTCAATCTCTCCCTTTCCTCTGGCACATTTCCCTCTGCCTTCAAACATGCAACCGTAACCCCAATTCTGAAAAAGCCCAACCTTGATCCCAACTCCCCATCCAACTACCGCCCTATCTCGCTACTGCCATTTGCCTCCAAGATCCTCGAGAGAGTTGTCTACGCCAGATTGACAGACTTTCTTGAATCCAACTCTCTGCTTGACCCCTTCAGTCTGGATTCCGTGCTGGTCACTCTGTCGAAACTGCTGTGACCAAAGTATCCAACGATTTAATTGCTGCTAAATCTCGCGGCCAATACTCTATCCTAATCCTCCTTGATCTTTCTGCCGCCTTTGACACTGTTGATCATCAACAGCTTCTTCACATTCTCCGTAACTTTGGTCTACAGGATTCTGCTCTCTCCTGGTGCTCCTCCTACCTCTCCCAGCGCTCCTTCAGTGTTTCTTTCTCTGGCTCTGCCTCTTCTCCCCAACCCCTCCCTGTCGGCGTCCCCCAAGGTTCTGTCCTCGGCCCCCTACTGTTCTCTATCTATACTGCCTCCCTTGGTAAACTCATCAGCTCTTTTGGCGTCCAATACCATTTCTATGCAGATGACACGCAAATCTACCTGTCCTCCCCCGATCTCTCTCTGCCCACCTTGACTCGTGTTTCTGACTGCCTCTCTGCTATTTCCAACTGGATGGCTGCTCACTTCCTTAAACTCTACCTGTCCAAAACAGAACTTCTAGTTTTTCCTCCCTCAAGTGCTGCTACTCCTGTGTCTGTCGCCATCCAAGTCAACGGCGCTACTATCACCTCTACCTCCCAGGCTCGCTGCCTAGGAGTTCTTTTTGATTCTGATCTCTCTTTTACTCCCCACGTTCAATCGATAGCCAAATCCTGTCGCTTCCAACTCAAGAACATAGCGCGCATCCGCCCATATCTAATGCCGGACGCGGCTAAGGTACTGGTTCATGCTGTTGTTCTCTCTCGCCTTGACTATTGCAATCCCCTTTTCACCGGTCTTACATGTTCCCAGCTTGCACCGCTGCAATCTATAATGAATACGGCTGCGAGGCTTATTTTCCTGTCCGGTCGCACCTCCCACGCCTCCACGCTCTGTCAGTCCCTGCATTGGCTTCCAGTTAGATATACAGGGAGTGCAGAATTATTAGGCAAGTTGTATTTTTGAGGATTAATTTTATTATTGAACAACAACCATGTTCTCAATGAACCCAAAAAACTCATTAATATCAAAGCTGAATATTTTTGGAAGTAGTTTTTAGTTTGTTTTTAGTTATAGCTATGTTAGGGGGATATCTGTGTGTGCAGGTGACTATTACTGTGCATAATTATTAGGCAACTTAACAAAAAACAAATATATACCCATTTCAATTATTTATTATTACCAATGAAACCAATATAACATCTCAACATTCACAAATATACATTTCTGACATTCAAAAACAAAACAAAAACAAATCAGTGACCAATATAGCCACCTTTCTTTGCAAGGACACTCAAAAGCCTGCCATCCATGGATTCTGTCAGTGTTTTGATCTGTTCACCATCAACATTGCGTGCAGCAGCAACCACAGCCTCCCAGACACTGTTCAGAGAGGTGTACTGTTTTCCCTCCTTGTAAATCTCACATTTGATGATGGACCACAGGTTCTCAATGGGGTTCAGATCAGGTGAACAAGGAGGCCATGTCATTAGATTTTCTTCTTTTATACCCTTTCTTGCCAGCCACGCTGTGGAGTACTTGGACGCGTGTGATGGAGCATTGTCCTGCATGAAAATCATGTTTTTCTTGAAGGATGCAGACTTCTTCCTGTACCACTGCTTGAAGAAGGTGTCTTCCAGGAACTGGCAGTAGGACTGGGAGTTGAGCTTGACTCCATCCTCAACCCGAAAAGGCCCCACAAGCTCATCTTTGATGATACCAGCCCAAACCAGTACTCCACCTCCACCTTGCTGGCGTCTGAGTCGGACTGGAGCTCTCTGCCCTTTACCAATCCAGCCACTGGCCCATCCATCTGGCCCATCAAGACTCACTCTCATTTCATAAGTCCATAAAACCTTAGAAAAATCAGTCTTGAGATATTTCTTGGCCCAGTCTTGACGTTTCAGCTTGTGTGTCTTGTTCAGTGGTGGTAGTCTTTCAGCCTTTCTTACCTTGGCCATGTCTCTGAGTATTGCACACCTTGTGCTTTTGGGCACTCCAGTGATGTTGCAGCTCTGAAATATGGCCAAACTGGTGGCAAGTGGCATCGTGGCAGCTGCACGCTTGACTTTTCTCAGTTCATGGGCAGTTATTTTGCGCCTTGGTTTTTCCACACGCTTCTTGCGACCCTGTTGACTATTTTGAATGAAACGCTTGATTGTTCGATGATCACGCTTCAGAAGCTTTGCAATTTTAAGAGTGCTGCATCCCTCTGCAAGATATCTCACTATTTTTGACTTTTCTGAGCCTGTCAAGTCCTTCTTTTGACCCATTTTGCCAAAGGAAAGGAAGTTGCCTAATAATTATGCACACCTGATATAGGGTGTTGATGTCATTAGACCACACCCCTTCTCATTACAGAGATGCACATCACCTAATATGCTTAATTGGTAGTAGGCTTTCGAGCCTATACAGCTTGGAGTAAGACAACATGCATAAAGAGGATGATGTGGTCAAAATACTCATTTGCCTAATAATTCTGCACTCCCTGTAGGGCCCAATTCAAAATTCTGGCGCTTGCTTACAAATCCCTACATAATGCTGCTCCAACATACTTATCCTCCCTCATACACAAGTATGTCCCGTCTCGACCCCTGCGCTCAGCCCAAGACCTACTCCTATCCTCTGCCCGGATCCCCACCTCTGATGCTCGCCTTCAAGACTTCTCCAGGGCTGCACCTATTCTGTGGAACTCCCTTCCCTCCTCAATCAGACTTTCACCCAGCCTCCACTCCTTCAAAAAATCTTTGAAAACTCACTTCTTCATTAAAGCGCATCAATTAAACTGTCAGCAGGTTTCTCATCCCCCACCCCATGACTCCGTTCCTTCACCTGTCAAAAATGACCTACCAAGCACTCAATAAACCCTTCTGTAACAAACTATTTAATTCCCCTACTTTAACCCTTTGTGTCACTATACCCCACTCCCTCTAGCATGTAAGCTCATCGAGCAGGGCCCTCAACCCCCTCTGTTCCTGTACGTCAGTGGTCTGATCTCAATTATGTGTCTGTTATTCCACCCATTGTACAGCGCTACGGAATCTGTTGGCGCTATATAAATAATAAAATAATAATAATTATATATATATATATATATTTTTCTTTGATAGAAAGAGGTGTTAAAACAATGCTGCTCCCTGATCAGTATAGGGCTGAGTTGTTTACAGATAAAAGCTGGTTTACAGTCCCTCCTGCTCAGCCCTTGTGTCTGCTGCCTGCCTGCATAGTTGGCAATTCATTATTCTACTCTGCAGCCAATCAGCAGAGACTGTCTGCAACGACTGCACTTGATCACAGCTTGAAGTAGCTCATTGATCCCACTCCTGGAGTTCCCTCATTTGTTGCAAATTTGATCCGTTCAGGAAGTGACTTAGATATCTTAGCCAATCCTGGATTCCTCCGTTTGAGTCGTGTGTGTGTATATAGGAGTTTATTCAATGATTTCATTGGTTAGTATTGTTTTATATGGTAACATGGAGCTATAAGTGCTTTATTAGCCATGCCGACTATTTTTCTGTAACATGATTGATTGTATTTTGCACAATAAATATCTAATAATGAAATCTGTTTCTTTTTAAAATTGCATATATGTGTAAATATGTGTATTAAATTACCCTGTAATAACTTCCCTTTGTCTCTGTAACAATGCACGCATTTTACCCTTCTTTTATTTATGGATTATTTCATTTGCAGCTTCCTCTAGTGATTACGAGAAGGAGCTTGTGACTCTGTTTCATGTGTGGCTGGAGACAAAGGACCAGATATTTAGCAAGGTAATCTACAGAATGGGCTCTTTAAAAACCCCAGGTACTGCAGTCACATGTACCACTGTAAAACCCAGAAAGGTTTGGTCCAAAACAAGAATACAATAGTTTCCTGTATCTTAAATGGTTCTTTTCTTTTCAGTATCACTATTTAGATGGATGTGTTTTGGACCAAGTTTTACTATTGGGAAATTCACGATCTCAATAATACTTTGTTAAAAATACTTGAGGAATGTAAAACCTTTGCCAAACTGTTAGTTAGTCTACGTTTGCTAAACTCTGCCAGCCCCTCCAGATGTGACTGTTTACAGAATGACATTGATTTCATGTTTTCTTATAAAGTTATGTAATATTTTAACTAAGGAGTCCGAGTTCGTTGGTATCCCAAAACACGTATGTTTGGTATTGTGTTATGTGAGTCACTTTATTTGGGGTAGGTATGGATGAGCAGGGAGAAGGGGCTCCAGCTAAGTACATTTTTTAATCTACAGACGCACTGGAGTCTTCACCAGCATAACATATAGATTATATATAGTACCAATATGTATGAAATCTAAAAAGGCCTTTCCTCTCTGTTAATATATGCATCTCTTTACAGGATAATGAAAGCTTGGTGGATCCCAGCACTCCAGTTCCTAGAGTGTAAGTACCGGTATACACATCCTGAAAGAAAATATTTGTTTTTAAATGCAAGCTCTGCTCTCTGCAAAAGTGTCCCTTAATAAGCAGGTCCAAATAATTATCTTCTTCAAGAATATTTACAGAATGCATACTAAAGAGACACTAATAACGTTATTCATTTTTATCAAGTCATTTAACCTTTAACTTGTTTGTTTTTCTTCCAGAAGGACTGATTATATGGTGCGGCCGAGTTCTGGGGATGAAAAGCGCATATTTCAGGAGCAGGTGAGGAAAGTGATTAACTAAATGTTGCACAGTACAGCTGTCAAACGTTTCGGCTGGAAGTATTGGGTCAGATAGGAATTGTCTAACAAATTTCTCTGCTACTTCGCAAAGATGATCTCTCTTCTCAAATGTTCCTCATGTGATTTTTTTACTTGGTGTACGTTATGTATGAAGTACTTCTAAACCTCCCTGTTATATTTTGTATAAATTTATCTATCTGGATTTTTGGAGCCTTACGTATAGCCAATAGGAGACAATTGAAGCAAGATTTGTATCTCTGATACGATGACTGCCCATCTGCCATATTGGAACAGATTTTGTCTTCGTTACATGACATATAGTCTACCAGCACTGTTTCTGCCATCTCTCTCAGTTCTTTCACAAACTCCTAATAAGCCATCTATTCATTAACACATTCTTTGACACTGATATATCTGATTCGGATATATCATTTGCTCTTTGACTGTTTGATAATTGTGATATTCCTGATAAGTGCCCAGTATGAGTGCTGTATGAGTAATTTTAAATTAAGAAATCTTTTTCCACTTATTTAACATGTCTGTAATTATTTATTTTTAGTGTTGAGCTATTGTACTCCGCTGGTTTCTCTTTTACACTGAACCTTGTATGTCTGTTTCTACAGGAGCGTCACCGCTACAGCCAGCCTCACAAGGCCTTCACTTTCCGTATGCATGGCTTTGAGTCCATTGTGGGCCCTGTCAAAGGTGTTTTTGATAAGGAAACCTCGCTAAACAAAGCTCGAGAGCACTCACTCCTGCGTTCTGACCGACCTGCTTATGTCACAATTTTGTCTCTTGGTACGATATCTGTCAGAGCTGCGTCTGTTTGCGCAGAATTGACCAGCTGCAATATTTTGCTTCATAAAGTTAATATGCTGAATGAGCAGCATTGAGGAGACACATTATCTCTTGCTCCAAAAGGCAGTTTATTACTCATGGTTGTAAAGACTGTTCCCTTATGTTTTTTAATGCGGTTTAATAACAGTAAGTTAGTAATTGCACGGTAATTGTAGAACAATATCTTATATAAGGAAGTGACTCATGCTAAAATCTTCTGTCATTTTGAACAATGGTAGTTTGTGAATTGCTAAATGCCTTTCAAAAAAACCTGGCAAACTGAACTGCTGAGCAAAATAAGTTCAGATTTTAAAAACTTATTTAAAGGTGACATGCTTCTATAAAAGAAAAATGTTATTAAAGTTTAATAACTAAAGACGTTCAGTGTGTGGAGAGTAAATATATATTGGGATTATTTCACATATTTTACCATGTGACTTTCCCAGTGTTTTACCCGAACACTTTTTTAAATGTTTTTTTTTTGCTTCAGTCCGTGATGCTGCCGCCCGGCTACCGAATGGAGAGGGAACGCGCGCTGAAATCTGTGAATTACTAAAAGATTCCCAGTTCCTGGCACCTGACGTTACGAGTGCCCAGGTGAGCTCACCTTTCCTTGTGATAAATAGAAATGTATTTCTCATCCACTGAACCCTGAGATTGGTTGTGTTTTTAGAGTGAGGCCCTGCTTTAGAAAATGTTTGAGAAGACTTTTATTTATTGTCAGCTGGAATACCTTACATGTAGGTAAAAAAATAAATAAATAAATAAATAAAAAAAACCACGAGGCAAATTATTTCCCTTTAAAGGAACATTCTGGTATGGGCTCCATCCATTTTTTTTCCCAATGCATTTTAAGGCAATGCATTAAAATGAATGCAATCTCAACAAATAAAAAATATTCACACTTCATGTTTCTAGATTTGCTTTAAATCCACAGGCTTTGCAGCTTCTGTAATGATCTCTGCCCAGACCTCTGTGTCCTTCCTAATTCTAAACTTTTATAAAACATTTGTTATATGGTCACTTGCTGTAAGACTTTTAACTGGTGGATGAAGTAAAAGAACCGCTGTAGGATATCTATACACATAGTTAAAATACATTTTGCACATCTGTGATTTCAGGTTTTTTGATTAGAATACCATATGTTCACACACAATAGGTTAATACTGTGGTAAGTGGAGCTCTGGACAGACTGCACTATGAAAAAGATCCCTGCGTGAAGTATGATATCGGACGTAAGCTGTGGATCTATCTCCATCGCGATCGCAGTGAGGAAGAGTTTGGTGAGAAACAAGTATATGACCTGTGTTTTCTACTTTCACGTTTGTTGAAGCCAGAAAAAACATTGTCGATTTTCTCCTTTAATTTGTAGAGCGGATTCACCAGGTGCAGGCAGCAGCCGCCAAGGCGAAAAAAGCTCTTCAGCAAAAACCCAAGCCACCTACAAAGATGGTACGTCTCTATACATCTTTACAAGTTACCCATGGCTCGGATAACTTTCCTGGCAGTTATTTGCTCTAACAAAACTGGAGTTCACTAATGGTGATCATTAAATGTTTTCCGCTCACTTTAGAAAAACCATTCAAGACAGACATCATCTGAGTCCTGCTCCAAAAACCTTAAAGTCAAAGGAAATTATGCATATATAGTGTCATGTACCATCCAACATGCATAACTAAGTAGACCACACTATATTTTATTCAAGCTGGGAACATTCCATTGTTGACTCTGCATCTTTTCCATGTTTGCGCAATTTTTCAGAGCAGACCCTTTAATACATAGCCCCCATTGTCTGCATTTATGTGCTCATTGAACTTTTGTTATACTTCCAGAAATGTGGCACCAAGGAATTCCCCATAAAGAGCTGTGGGACACCAGAACCTGGGCAACTGAATGAGTCTAGCATGCCCCCCACACCAGGGACCCCAAGTACCCCAACCACTCCTGCACTTCCATTGACACCTTTGTCCCCATCAACATCATCCTCTGTCAGCAAGATGGTAACCAACACTGGACCCGAAATGGCTAAATCCAGCCCAAGGTTAGTGTTCTTCGTTCACTGGATCCATGTTTTTCTATTACAGTTGTACTGTCTTACCAGAATTGTGTTTGTTACCTTCCTAGTGTCCTCCTGATGTCTTCTCCCACTATGCCACAATTGAGCACTTTGCTGACTCAGTCTGCAACAAGCCAGGCCACGACTGTGACACAGACATCAGGGCGCACTTCTGCTGTCCCCTCTTCTTCTGGAATTTCCCAAGTACGAATAGTCACACCATCTACAGGAGTTCCAGCGACTCCACCACCAACAATAGTGACCCAGGCCCTTTCTCTGACAGTGTCCCACATCAGAATGCCCGTCACTTCTACACCAACCAAGGTTATACCACAGGTAAGATTGGTACAATTACATGTCTGTTAGTCCACCCATTGTACAGCGCTACAGAATTTGATAGCGCTATATAAATAATACATAATATTAGAAAAATATTTAGGAAACCTAATTTCTAGGTATTTATCAAACTGTCTTTGTTTTTAGGTGGTGACGATGCCGATGAAGGCCCACAACGCTGTTGGTGTAGCTCGTCCAGGGACCACTCTAACCAATCAGGGAGGAATAGCAGTGACTGCCCTGAGTTCATCAGCTGTATCCAGAACAGTGGTCACTGCTCCATCAAATACGGGTTCCACTATCCTTCAGAGCATCACCGGACAAAGTATTATCAAACAGGTATGAAGTAGTAAAATCACTTTTCCTCCTTGTGACCATACCATGTTACCATAGAAAACTATTAAGATTGCAGAACTGCGCATTGTCTATTATGTGCAACTTTGTATTCACTTTCCCTTCCCCCCCGTCACTTGGTCTTCTCGTCATTTGTTCTTAGAACTCACTGTTTTTGTTTGTTTTTTGTGTATTGCCTTTAAATGATGATTATAGCCCAAACCTCACCTTTGCAATAACGTGTCTCCTAAGTTGAGCAAAAGCATAATTTTTGTTTTAGCTATTATCAAGTGTTGATAATTAACCAGGTGACTGGGTTGCAGTGTAATTCTTACTGTGTCCTATCAGACAGACCATACAACCTAAATATGTGTCTTGCTGCCTGGGTGAGTGATTTAAAGCTGCGTTTAAGAAGCTTGTTGACTTTGCGTTGGTAATTCTGTGAATGTAAATGTAGGAGTAGAGGAACTATTGGGATGGATTCATCTCACATATAGACATTAGAATGAGTGGATTAACCCTAATAAATTGTGATTGATATATATACTATCCCCAGATTATCGTGTGATGTTTCTCATATGATGCAAACAAAGCATAATACAGTGCAACATGCTAGTAAATGTGTGTTAGATTATATAATGGTAACTGGAAGAATTAAGTACAATATTCAATTTCATAGTTAATATGAAGTGCACCGTGAAATAGAGTACATTCATAAAACACAACACAGGTTGTCTTTTTGCATGAAATGTTAAAGTGCCTTTGAATACTAAATTATTGTCTTATCTGATATACCTTTGCTGTTTTTGACATATTGCCTTTCTCACCAACAGGTGGCACTGTCTGGGCAGCTAGGAATGAAAACACAAACTGGTTCGAGCCTTCCTCTTTCGACCACTAATATTCGGATCCAGGGTAAAGATGTGCTGCGCCTCCCACCGTCTTCCATCACCACAGATGCCAAAGGGCAGACCATTTTGCGCATCACACCAGACATGATGGCTACACTTGCAAAATCCCAAGTCACTGCTGTAAAGCTATCACAGGAACTATTTTCTGCGGCACCAGTGAGCACCACTGGCAAGAGTCTATTACAAGTAACGTCTAACCCATCATCACCATCCCCTCCTGCACCCGCCAACGTCAAGGTCACACCGGACATTAAAGCAGTAGAACAGAGCGCCACTGGATTCCGGCTGATGCCAGCTCTTGGCGTCTCTGTAGCGGATCAGAAAAGTAAGCCAGCTAACGCTGTGGATGCCAAACCAGCCACCACCATCCGGATCATGCAGGGACTTGGCATGGTATCCCCCAAGGTTACAGCATCGCAGAGCATCACGGTGACTGCCAAGCCAGTATCCATTGCATCCTCTACTGTAGTAAACACTGCAGCCAACTCCAAACAAGTCTGCATTCCAACCATGAACAGCACTGGAGTGAAACCCACACCAACCACTGTCACTGTGGGAGCCACCACTATCAGACAGCTTCCTGTGACTACATCTCAACAGGTAATTTGAGGTGGCCTTTGGAATGTAGCTGCCTTCGCTATAAATAAACACCTTTTCAGAAGGAAGCAGAAACACTAGAGGCAACAAATTGCTTTTATCTGTTGTCACAGTCTGTTACTCAGATCATATGTCTGGGCAGTAAAATGAACAACTTTTCTTCTTACAAGAACTGTCTGTATTTGTTTTCCAATGCAGGGTAAACTTCCAACGCGAATCACTGTGCCACTGTCTGTACTCGGGCAACCAATGAAAGGAAAGAGTTTAGTGACTACACCAATCATCAAGGGCAATCTGGGCACGAAGTAAGTATTGGCTTTAAATGAGCTGTAAAAGAGGGAAATTGGATCCCAAAGGGGCATCCTCCAAAGAGAGCGTACAAGATCTAACGCAGATTAGCTAAGGGGCTGGGGTAGAGACTCTCCAGCTTACAGATTTGGATAGTTTAGAACAGGTTTATTATTATTATTATGGCCTAGACGTTACCACTCAATTTCTAACTCCTCACAATTCACTGTTTACCACTGTTTTTAGTTGACAGATTAGCCAGTGGCTAAGCCCCGTAACAGCTCTCTTGCGTCCAACTTCCGTTTGTGTGTGTCACAAATTATTTACACCAGCATTTTCTGTGTTGTATTGTTTACGATTTCTTTAAACTAATCAGTGGGCAATCTCTGACACGGAGCAGCTTAGTTTAAAGAATAGTTACTTGTAACACGTAGAGAATAATGATGCATGAAATGCTTATGGTAAGGACACACCATGTACCTGTATAGCTTCCATGCATTAATGTAGTGGTTGTGGTGTCTATGTGTACTGTAAACGTTATATTTTCAGAGATGCAGTCGCTTCTAGTGCAACACTGGTGTTTAGCATGGAGGAGCTGACTATTTCCCATAGATATGCATTGATTCAATGCATCTCTATGAGGAGGTGCTGATTGGCACAGTGTGGCGTCTTATTGCCTGTGCGAAATAACCTTCCAATGCTTTCCTACGGGAAGCATTGGATTGGCTGAGATCATCATTGATGATCTCAGCAGTGGAGGCGGGTGAGCCACGGCAAGGGGTAAAGTATGTAAACGTACTTGTCCCATGCGGACACTATGCAGATAAAAGGTAATTGGGGGCACACCTGGAACATGCATTTCTTAGCAGTGGTGTTAATGTAATGGTCAAATGCATGAAATACAGAGTAAGTTTCAGCTCACACATTAACTTCAGTTAAATTTTACAAAGCTACTTAAAATCACATATTTCCGCACACGAATATGGGGATTCAGCTTGTGTAAGCCCACCACTACGTCACAGTACCCCAATATCAGTGGGTCCTGCACTCATTTTAACATTTATAGGACATCCTATAATGTTGTGTTTTTCGCCTTTTCAATTGGCAATTAAGAAAAAAAAAAAAAAACCTGTTGAAAATAGACTGTGAAAGTTGTATACCCTGTTGTTACCCTGTGCACCGGCACTGAGAGAGCCTGCAATGGCTACATTGAAACTATTGAAACCTACTATGTGCCCGCCATCATGGTGTCAATAATGTGCACGCTCTGTGTTCTTCCCGTGTGTGTTTGTATGGGACTGACTGGATTAAAATTTACTGCAATTTTTTTTTTTTTTTTTTTACATTTTGTTTTGAGGTTGAGTGCGAGGGGTATTAATTATTCAGGACAGCGGAGACAAATCTAGAATACCTGGTTTTAGATGTCAAACAGTGCCCAGAGCTATCTGTTTATTAATGCATTATTTAGCAAGGACAATTTCTTACCTGTGTTTGGGGGCAGATGTAGCCAGAGTTTTTAACTAAAGTCCAAATTGTATTAAATCTGATTTGAATACATTCCCCACTTCAGCTGTAGTTTGTTTATTTTAGACACAAAGTTGCCATTCATATTTTAATTTGCTTCATTTTCTGTTTGGTAAATAACTCTGTATTTTCTGCTAACATAGTCATTAAACTGGTTCATCGGAAAAATTTCTCATCTCTGTTGTGGGACTTTGGCTGTTTATCTCCTGTGCTGGCATGTTTATTCTGATTTGTGTGTTTTTTGTTGTCCCCTCACAGCATTAGTGGTTTGGGTCGTAATATCATCCTAACCACTGTACCGGCTGGTACTAAACTTATAACCGGTAACAAGCCATTGAGCTTCCTAACTGCCCAGCAACTGCAGCAGCTCCAGCAGCAGGGTCAAACTACCCAGGTAAGGATGGCAAGGTGCTAGGATCGCCTATTGAGACAGGGATTGTCACTTATACCAACTACCTGGGTTTGATAGAAAATAAGTTTAATGTGTAAATGGAGGGAATTCGTGGTTAAATTTGTCTTATTGTGCCACTCTGGGAATTAACCACAGTGTGTATGGCTAAACCAAAAAGATATTGAGTGGTTTATAAATGTATCGTTAATAGTCAATTTTTGTTTGAATGTAGATAAAATAGCCGTTTATCTCTGCCCATATTTTACACAGGATTTCCAACTGTAGGGGCTGAAGTTGCCTGTGTAGCTGGTTCAAATAAAGGCCCCTGCCTTGGTAACATTTCAAGGAATGTGATCTAGTTTTCTGTTTAACACCACGGACTCCTGTAATGTTGAACAGATGATTATAAAACCTTTTATGCGATGTGACATTGATCAGGTTTGAATTCCTTCCTCAGGTTCGAATACAAACCGTCCCAGCTCAACATCTTCAGCAAGGCTCATCACCTGCAACACCCAAAACAGTGTCCACTGTTGTCGTAACAACAACCCCACCACCCAAACTGACCCAAGACCCAAAGTGAAGTGAGAACATCAGTCATACCAGAGGCCAGTGGAAGGCTCAAAGTTTTGGTGATCCTGCTTCGATATGATGACTTTGGCCCTATTGGTCGATTTTCTATGACAAAAGCGAGTTGATTGTGACCGCTCCATTCTGATCCAGACATTTCAATCTTGGGGTTAGCCATTCCACCTGCCACAAGTGCATGTTTGTTTCCAAGTCATCAAAACCTGACCCAGGATTTGGCCACAGGTTTTCTGAACACGCTTATTCCCGAGAGCGGTGCCCCTCCATTTCCCTAGGAGAAGACCCAACTTTAGAATTATCTGTTCTAGGATCCCTTGCTACAGATAATGGCAATATTGGTTTAACCTCTTTGCAGCCAAAATTGAATGAGAAACATTTCTTAAATGAATAAGTGGCATTTGAGACTTCCTCATTTTGAGGGATACAATATGTTTGTGGTTAATATTTCATGTATTTTATGCTGTGGAATCCAATGTTAAATATATTTAAGAATGAAAACCTATCTTGTGTGATGTTGCTTTACCTCGGTGGTCCCATTTAATGGTTTAGACACCCTCTATCTTTTCTGCTACATTCTGGTGCCATTTAATGTCCAGTTTTACTTTGGGGCAAAAACAGGGCTAGATCTGACGTTTCTACACAGAGAACCTTGGCTGACAAATATAAATATTATATGTGAGCAAAGTATATTAAACTTTATTGTTAAAAATCAAACCTGAATTATCCAAACCTCACTCCACCAATGAAGGTGGGTTAGGGGGACACAGAACAAAATAAAATGTGTTTAAATAATATCAGTACCTAATATCGCTGACCATAGTAATTAATACCCAGTATATGCTTTACAGCTGAAATTCATTATTCGTAATCTCCTATCTGCTTCGTTGCCAATACTAGATATATTTAGATTTCACAGGAAGGGATAGAGCTAGTGCTGTTTATTTGCTGAATTGTGAATTCTAAATCGACTAAAATATGGATTCACCCCCACCCCCCCATTAATTTTCTTCCTTGTTATATAATGTGACTGTGACTGACTGACTGAGTTGGGAGGTTTTTTTTTAATTTTTTACAGATCCGCTATTTAGCCATTCAGACATTAACTTGTCGTTTAGAGAATTAACCCCTAGATTCAAATTGTGTCATCTGCATATGTACTGTTGAACTGTAGGAAGTAGGGACCACCTTTTTTTTATTTTATTTATTTATTTATTTATTTTTTACCCAAAAATGTCCACATTTATTGTTTTAAAAATTTGGAGTATGACTGGGTTAATAACTATCCCATTTGTAAGTACTACAGTTTCTAAAAGAGCAATGGACAATGAAATAATCAGTTTGTTTCCAGGGTGATCGTTTCTGTTTTTGCTCATGGGGTGTGTGTGTTTATTGACTTAACGCCATCTGTGGCATTCAGTGTATTGTGTAGTTTTGTGTACATATAAATCTAGAATAGCAAGTCAGGTATTGAGTGCTAGATCTATCTATCATCTGATTCCTGTCTCTTCTGGATACTTCCTTGTTCCAGCAAAAGATCTTACAGCAATCCCAATGGTGGATGAAGTGACTATACAGTTCAGAGCCATTCTTTAAAGGACCGCCGCTATAGGAACTCAGACCACTTCAGCTCAATGAAGTGGTCTGGGTGCCAGGTCCCTCTAGGGTTAACCCTGCCTGCTGTAGAAACTGCTATGTTTACATTAGGGTTAATCCAGCCTCTAGTGTCTGTCTCATAGACAGCCGCTTGAGGCGCTTCTCACTGAAAATCACAGTGTGAAGACACCAGCGTCCATAGGAAAGCATTGAGAATGCTTTCCTATGGACTGGCTGAATGCGCGCGGCTCTTGCCGCACATACGCAGCCGATGATGTCCGAAGGAGGAGGAGAGTCCCCAGCGCCGAGGGAGCCCTATAGTGGTCCTTTAAGGGCTCTTGAAATTGTGAGTGAGCCATTATAACCATCTTTTGTTATTTATAAATATACAGTTTGCACTATGGTTATTCTGTTTTATATTTATATTATTTAGGGTCCTTTTATCTGAACATATGTAACAAGACCCTCTTCATTGTTTTAAAAAGTAACATTTTAATCATTGTGTGCGCTTTAACACTTTTTGGTTTGGTTTTCTATTCATTGGGTGCGTCCGTGTGGTTGTCTAACCTATTTTTATCCTGTGAATGATTTTATTATCGGAGATCCTCTTGTTGGGTGTGGTTTCAGTAAATATGTTGCTATAAATCTGCACATCTATTCACATTCAAAATACCTCAAAACCAACAAAATAAATAAAGTATAAAGTTAGACAATACCTGCTATATACAGTGTACCCGCTATACTAATACCTGCTATGTATAGTGTACCCGCTATACTAATACCTGCTATATACAGTGTACCCGCTATACTAATACCTGCTATATATAGTGTACCCGCTATACTAATACCTGCTATGTATAGTGTACCCGCTATACTAATACCTGCTATATATAGTGTACCCGCTATACTAATACCTGCTATGTATAGTGTACCCGCTATACTAATACCTGCTATGTATAGTGTACCCGCTATACTAATACCTGCTATATATAGTGTACCCGCTATACAATACCTGCTATATATAGTGTACTCCGCTTATACTATTACCTAAGTTATATATAGTGTACTGGGCTATATTGGAATACTCGTTATATATGTGTAAATTCGCTTATACAATATCATTTGCTATATATAGTGTACTCCGCTATATACAATACTGCTAAGTATATAGTAAAATTGTATTTATACAATACTCAAGTATATATAGTGTACCCGCTTTTATACTAATACCTATATATATAGTGTACCTATATAATACCTGTTATATATAGTGTACCAAATATACAATACCTAAGGTTAAGTATATAGTGTAAATTGCTTATACTAATACCTGCTATATATAGTAAAAATTCGCTTATACAATACCTGTTATATATAGTGTGTACCCGCTTATACAATACCTGCTATATATAGTAAAATTCGCTATACTAATACCTATATATATAGTAAAATTCGCTTATACAATACCTGTTATATATAGTGTAAATTCATATACTAATACCTGCTATATATAGTGTACCCGCTATACTAATACCTGCTATATATAGTCTACCCGTTATACAATACCTGCTATATATAGTGTACCCGCTATACTAATACCTGCTATATATAGTCTACCCGTTATACAATACCTGCTATATATAGTCTACCCGTTATACTAATACCTGCTATATATAGTGTACCCGCTATACAATACCTGCTATATATAGTGTACCCGCTATACTAATACCTGCTATATATAGTCTACCCGTTATACTAATACCTGCTATATATAGTGTACCCGCTATACTAATACCTGCTATATATAGTGTACCCGCTATACTAATACCTGCTATATATAGTCTACCCGTTATACTAATACCTGCTATATATAGTGTACCCGCTATACTAATACCTGCTATATATAGTGTACCCGCTATACTAATACCTGCTATATATAGTGTACCCGCTATACTAATACCTGCTATATATAGTGTACCCGCTATACAATACCTGCTATATACAGTGTACCCGCTATACAATACCTGCTATATATAGTGTACCCGCTATACAATACCTGCTATATATAGTGTACCCGCTATACAATACCTGCTATATATAGTGTACCCGCTATACTAATACCTGCTATATATAGTGTACCCGCTATACTAATACCTGCTATATATAGTGTACCCGCTATACAATACCTGCTATATATAGTGTACCCGCTATACTAATACCTGCTATATATAGTGTACCCGCTATACTAATACCTGCTATATATAGTGTACCCGCTATACAATACCTGCTATATATAGTGTACCCGCTATACAATACCTGCTATATATAGTGTACCCGCTATACAATACCTGCTATGTATAGTGTACCCGCTATACTAATACCTGCTATATATAGTGTACCCGTTATACTAATACCTACTATGTATAGTGTACCCGTTATACCAATACCTGCTATGTATAGTGTACCCGTTATACTAATACCTGCTATATATAGTGTACCCGTTATACTAATACCTGCTATATATAGTGTACCCGCTATACTAATACCTGCTATGTATAGTGTACCCGCTATACTAATACCTGCTATATATAGTGTACCCGTTATACTAATACCTGCTATGTATAGTGTACCCGCTATACTAATACCTGCTATGTATAGTGTACCCGTATTGAATGTATTTCATTCCCTATAAGGAATTGCTGCCCTGTAGATATTGTTCAAGGATTACATCTGGTCTGAGTGACGGTATATTGTTGTGTCTGTACCCACTGCTGTCCTGTTACCCAGTTACCTCATGTTCCCTGCCAGGACAGAGAGAAAAGGAGGGTTTTGTGTACCCACATCTACTTCCTTTTCAGTGTGCTGCCCCACCTCCCAGTCACAGACAGAACATATATAGAAAGGGAGGGGTATGACCCAATTCATGTTCCACCTCAGAATAGAAAGGTCTGGGTCTTTATCGCAACTTTGCATTGATTCAGGCATTTTGGATGCATTTCTTATTAATCCCTTTTGGCTGCAGTTGGAATGGAGAGAGTTTATGTATGAAGGGAAAATGTTGCTGTTTTCAGACAATGAATTGAATGTAGCGGTAGCTCCAGAGTTACTATTTACACAGTGTATCCATTTCCTGAGTCTGGAAATATTATTTACATCCTACGTAGAGCAATATATTATCCAGAAGCATAGATGAGGACAATGAGGACGAGCACTGAGTGTTATTACATCTGTGTGCTAGAAATACTGCGCACAGATTGAGTGTGGTTTAATAAATTCTCCATACACCAATAGTGTGGTTATTGACACATCTATAGTGGTGTTATAATCTGCTCTGTAGGCTATTCTCTAAAATGACAATTGTCGGTAATTCAATGTGAATTTGATGTTTAAAGGGACACTGTAGGCACCCAGACCACTTCAGCTCATTAAAGCAGTCTGGGTGCTGTGCTGCAATGTTTAACATTGCCATTCCAGAGAAACTGCAATGTTTACATTGAAACACGAAGTCTGCTTCCAGTGGCTGTCTAGAGGCGATTCCTGAATTGTAACGGACCTTTGGTCCGTTATCTGACGCTGGACATCCTACCGCTCGTCAGATTTTTCACCATATTTTCAACCATGGGGTGGTCTAATGCGTGCGTGACAGCACCTGCTCCTTAAGTGACGTCTGAGGGGGCGGAACGACGACCCATGCCGAGGGACACCGGCGCTTGGAATCAGATAAGTACATTAAAGTGTTTTTAACCCTGTATTTACCAGGAAGAGGGGGCAGTGAGAGCTATAGTGCCAGAAAGCAAAATTTTTTACTTACCGTAAATGTATTTTCCTGAAGATTAGAGGCAGTGCTTAACAACAGGGATTTCTAATCTGGAGGGAAAAAACAGACAGGCAAACCCCCAAACTTTTTAAAAAATACCTCCCCTAATTCCATCTTGTCCTATAAATTGACACTTACCCCAAACAGCCCCAGAAAATACAAAAGCCGGGTAACTGCAAAATGTAGTTTATTAGAACATGGGGGGGGGGGGTGAAGAAATTTACGGTAAGTAATATTTTTTTGCTTTTCCCTTCAGATTAGAGGCAGTGCTTAACAGGGATAATCAAAGGAATCCACTAAGGGCGGGACTCATTTCACAACAGCTTGTAACACGTTGCGCCCAAAAGATGCGTCTTCTGAGGCCAGTATGTCTAATTTGTAATGTTTAGCAAACATATGCAGAGATGACCACGTGGCTGCAGAACAAATTGAGAAGGCGTAACTGAAGTCCGCAGGGCCCATGATGTGGATATAGCTCTGGTAGAATGAGCTTTAATGGAGAAAGGCACTAAGGTTTTATCATTCAAGACTTTATTTTTGGTGGCCATTGAAAAATCTGGAGATTAGGATATTTGAAGCCAAACATCTGAACGAAAAGAAACTGATAGCTGAAAGTTAGACTTTGAGTGTGGCTGGTTTCAAACCTTTCGCAAAGCCCTTCTGTAGGAAACTAAGGATGTTTGGAATGGAAGCGGAGACTGGATTTTCCTTGACCCTGACACACCAAGAACAAAACTTCTTCCATATTCTGGAATACATTTTGGAAGTAGAATCCTTTTTAGCAGCCATCAAAATCTTATCAGGAGACAAACCCTTTCTCTTTAATATCTGGTATTCAGACACCATGCCGTCAATTTGAATTTCCTCACAGTTGGAAGTGGTACCATGGAGTGTTCCAGTATGTCTACTGACAAGGGAAGTTTCCAAAAGGTTGATCCGGGAATATTTAGGAGAACTGAGAACCAACTTCTTCTCGGCCACCAAGGTAGAATTATGATTATTGTCACCCTTTCTATCCTGATCTTCTGAAGAATTCTTTGAATTAGAGAAATAGGAGGAAACTCGTAAGCCAGGCCGAACTTCCAGGGAATTGAAAGGGAGTCTATGACCTCTGTTCTGTCTGCCGGGTTTAGAGATGCAAGTTTTCTTGTTTGATCTTGAAGCCATAGGGTCTATTTCTGGATAACCGAATTTCTTTGTGATTTGACTGAAGATCTGGGAAGAAAGGGACCAATCTGCTTGCTTTAAATGTTGACGACTTAGAGTGTCTGCCAGTATGTTGAATTCTCCTTTTAAGTGAACCGCTGAAATTGACAGAAGGTGGAACTCTGACCACAGCATGATTCTGGAACACATATCTTCCAAACTCGTTGATCTTGTTTCTCCTTGTTTGTTTATATAAGCTACTGCTGTAGAATTGTCTGACCTGATCTGGACATGTTTATTCTGGATCTGATTCCGAAAAGCAATGAGAGCCAGCCAGACAGCCTTCAGTTCTTTGTAGTTCAATTAACTTCTTAAATCGTTTACTTGCCAAACTCCTTGTTTCCTCTTTTCTCCCAAATGAGCACCCCAGCCGCGACCTGAGGCGTCTGTTAAAACTTTGACCGACCTCATTTGGAACGAGAGGCCTGTTTGCAGGAAACGAGATGAGGTCCCCCAGAGAAAACTCTTCAGCGCCTGACTGTTGAGTTTCAAAGGTTGAGTTTCATACGTTTGCCTGTTCCAGCAGCTTCAAATGTTTCTTTGAAGGGGTCTCATTCTGGCCTCTGCCCAATTGACTGCTGGGATGGAGGCTGTGAAAAGACCCAGTAAACTCATTGCATCTCTGATGGAGCGCCAGAAAGTGCAAAGACAAAAGTGGTATACCGCGCCACAAACATATTTAAAGTGTAAGGAGTGCAATAAACGTATATACATACATACAAAGTTTTCTGGTACTATGGTGGTACATACACCCTTAAAAGAAACAAAATACAAAACAATGATAGTGCAGATTGTCAATAAATGGTATAGTCTATACAGTAACTGTATATAGACTATATCATTTACTGACAATCTGCACTATCATTGTTTTGTATTTTGTTTCTTTTAAGGGTGTATGTACCACCATAGTACCAGAAAACTTTGTATGTATATAAGTTTATTGCATTCCGTACACTTTAAATACGTTTGTGGCGCGGTATACCACTTTTGCACTTACTGGTTATAATTAGCAGTTACTGGGAAGTCCTGCTGGTTTACTGCTGCCTGTTATTTTAGTGAGTGCCTATACCTGCACTTGTTTTGATCTGATGGAGCACCAACTCCTTTCTCTGAGGTTCTGAATAGCCAGAGAAATCTTTGTTCTTTTTTCTTCTGGAAGGAAGATTTTCAGAGCGAGTGTGTCTATAATCAGACCCAGGAACTGAATTCTTTGATTTGGGACCATTTCCAACTTTACGAAATTTATCAACCAACCATGATTTTTTTCAAGTGTCTAAAGCCGTATTGAGGTATAGATAAAGTTTTTCTTTGGAGTCGTCTATATGAAACTGCTTTTTTAGAATAAATTTGTTGACGGTCTTGAGATCTAGAATGGGTCTCAAAGAACCATCTGGCTTTGGAACCAAAAAGAGTCTTGAATAAGTGCTCAGAAATCTGTCTTTTGGATGCACACTTTCTATGACGTTCTTTTGAAGACGTTTTGATGCTTCTCCCACTATCGCTTTTTCTTTCGCAGGTGAATGGACTGTAGAGCATAAGAATTCTCTTTTTTGGATCTCTGATAGATCCAGATAGAAACCCAGCGATCCGAGGTAGTTTTCTGCCAGTAATCCAGGAAATGAGTGAGTCTTCCTCCAATAGGAATGGCGTCATAAATTTCTATTCCTGTAATCAAACACCTTCCTTTGTTGACCTCTGTAAGTGTTCTTCCGAAAGGATCCCCTGTAAGTGGATTGGACTCTAAAAAATCATTTATTCCAATTCTGCTTCCTGTTATCTTCAGGTAAAGCCTTTTTACCATCCTTCATTTGTTTCAAAAGATCATCCAGTTTAGAACCAAAAAGTCTGCCTGGTTCAAATGAAAGGTCACATTTTTGGATGCTGAGTCAGCCTACCAGTTTCTTAACCAAATTGCTCTTCTTGCTACCTTGGATAAACCCATTGTCTTCAACTAGAATGTCAGATGCCATGTTGATATTTTGCAACAACTTGACTGGATCTTCTTTTGGATTCACCCGCATAAATCTTTTCTAATTCTTCCAGCCAATGTTTCTGTGCCTTTGCCACTGAGGTACCTGCAATCAGTGCTTTGGATTGAGATGCTGAGGAAACAAAGAGTTTATTTAAGGAAGAATCAATACGTTTCTCCAGGGCGTCTCTTAGGCACTTGAATCTCCTATAGGTAAAGTGGTTTTCTTTCCCAGCTGAGCTACAGGGACGTCTACTGAAGGTAAAGGATCCAGGAGGCACTCGGGATCCTCATTGATGGCCAAGAGAGCTTTAAAGTGTTTAGAAATAAACAGCTTTCTTCAGTGGAATTTCCATTCCCTTAGAATCAAATCATTTAATTGTGGAAACAGAAAAGCTTTGTATTTCTTTCCTTTGCTCCTGAAGTGTTCCTTATCACCCATCAGGCACTGTACTTCCTTTACCAATTTTCCAATAGATTCCTCTGGAAAAGAAAACAGATTCTGAGTGCACTCGGCAAACAGTTGCTGCTGGCTAAATAGCCTCTCTAAGTCCTGGGAACCAAAATTTGAAAAGAAAAAAAACCGTGCGCGCTGCGATTCCACGGTGGAACACATCACAACCTGTACGTGCGTTCCACCGCCAGGACCTCCCACCTAGTGCACGCATACGCCCATTGTCTGCCCGGCACGGTATAGACAAAAGTGAATAAAGCACAGGGGGATGAAGACGTCCGGCGTGCTTACCCCTGGAAGGACATCCGAAAAAAAGGAGCAGAGCCTCCCGAGCTTCAGCCCTCTCACCTTACTCCTGGGGAAAAACCTGAGAACCTCCTCTGCCGAAGGCAGGCAAAGAAGGCTGTTTGGGGTAAGTGTCGATTTATAGGACAAGATGGAATTGGGAGAGGTATTTAAAAAAAATTGGGGGATTGCCTGCCTGTTTTTTCCCTCCAGATTAGAAATCCCTGTTGTTAAGCACTGCCTCTAATCTGAAGGGAAAATATAGGTTTGTATTCCTGGCACTGGAGGATCCCTTCATGCCCAAAGTAGCCAAACTGAAAAATTCTCCAAGCTGCTATGTTTCCTGTTGTACGCTTTTGCCCTTAAATTTGAAATTAAATTCTCACTTTAGTTTGTGATGATTTATACAAAGCTTTCACTTTGTATAATGCTCCATCAAACTTTTCCTATTTATATTGCTAATTTTCTCTTCTTTTACAATCCATTTTATTTTAGCTTGTTGTGTAAACTAACATTTTGACAAGGTTAGTTTACAATGCCTAAGGCCTACTAATCTAATTTGACGTTTGGCTGATCTACCCAACAGAGGCAGCCAAGTAACATTCTTAAGCACTGCAAGGAAGTATCGCCCTTAATCTCAATAGTCTCTGACTTTACACCACTTTCAAATGGAACATATTTGAAGAAGAAAAGACCAAACAAAATAGCCAAGTTTTGATAAAGAATTTTTATTAAAAGTATAACAAAGTAAAAAATAAAATAAATTCTACAGATATCTGATGTGGGTGATTATGTGGTGTATGTGCTTTGATGCAAAAGCTTAGAAACACTCCATAAAAAAATGTTAAATTGATAAATGTTGAACTAAACTGATACATTGATTTAGACTGATATAAATCAAATATAGTTTGAAGGTACAAGATGAAAGTAAAATATTTAAAGGTCCACTATAGGCACCCAGACCACTTCAGCTCAATGAACTGGTCTGGGTGCCAGGTCCATCTGCAGCTGTAAGTGAAACTGCTATGCTTACAACAGAGTCAATCCAGCCACTAAGAATATCCTAAGAATATTTCTCTACACGTGGGACCTACCATTATGGACTGTGATAAGTTCTCGTTGGACTATTGCCTACTATTTATTTTATATTTGATTATTTTATCTTATATTTTTAACATTTTTTTAAGTATGTATTGTCTTTTATATACTTTAGGCGCACCCTTATTTCACTGTTTGTTTTATGTTGTTTGTTACCATTAGGGGATTATTGGGGACTCCCCTTTGAGGAGTGCAGCACATTTTTTATACTCTTTTGTGGCATTTTAGCGCTGATTTTCTTCTTTTTTTCCAGTTCTCATTGACAGCCGCTAGAGGCGCTTCCGCGCTTCTCACTGTGATTTTCACAGTGAGAAGACGCTGCCGTCCATAGGAAAGCATTGAGAAATTATTTCCTATGGATTGATTGAATGCGCGCGCGGATGACGTGGGAAGGGGGAGGAGAGTCCCCAGCGCCGGCGGGAGTTGGACCCTGAGGCTGGAGGGGACCCAAAGACCCTATAGTCGTCCTTTAATTTTTACTCTGCAATCAACATTATAACGGAATTACACTTTGTAAAATATATATTGCTCCTGGAGACATTGTACCTTTTAAAAGACAATCAAGACACTTGTGGTAGTTACTTTTTTTTTTTTTACTTTAATTAAATGTTATCTTCAACATATTAGAATAATTTCTGACTTTTCAGCGTTAAAGAGACACTATAGTCACCAGAACAACTACAGCTTAATGTAGTTGTTCTGGTGAGTATAATCATTGCCTTCAGGCACTTTAATGCAAATGCTGTCTTTTCAGACAGTGTTTACATTGCCCCTAGGGACACCTCCAAAGTGATCACTCCACAGATGGCCACTGGAGGTGCTTCCTGGCTCAGTGCTGCACAGTATGCACCACTGCCGTTCAGCATCTTCACACTGCATGGGGATGCTGAATTTTCCTCATAGAGATGCATTGATTCTATTCTGAAGTCACCAAGGGGGGCAGAGTTGGAAATAAAGTGTGTTTTAATTGCTTTTAAGGGGGCTGAGGGGGGGGGGAGGATCTTCAGAAGGTTATTGATACCTTAGAGAGGGTTCAGAGAAGGGTTACTAAACTGGTTCATGGATTGCGGGATAAAACTTACCAGGAAAGGTTAAAGGATCTTAACATGTATAGCTTGGAAGAAAGACGAGACAGGGGGGATATGATAGAAACATTTAAATATATAAAGGGAATCAACACAGTAAAGGAGGAGACTATATTTAAAAGAAGAAAAACTACCACAACAAGAGGACATAGTCTTAAATTAGAGGGACAATGGTTTAAAAATAATATCAGGAAGTATTACTTTACTGAGAGGGTAGTGGATGCATGGAATAGCCTTCCAGCTGAAGTGGTAGAGGTTAACACAGTAAAGGAGTTTAAGCATGCGTGGGATAGGCATAAGGCTATCCTAGATATAAGATAAGGCTAGGGACTAATGAAAGTAATTAGAAAATTGGGCAGACTAGATGGGCCGAATGGTTCTTATCTGCTGTCACATTCTATGTTTCTATGTTAAATGGTGGGTTTAGCACTATAGGGTCAGGAATACATGGTTTTGTTCCTGCCCTATAGTGTTCCTTTAATAATTATAGATGGTCCGAGGGAGGCAGCCTCATTTCATTAGACAAAATCGGAATCTCTGCCCTCTATTGTACCCTTTTGATACATCTTAAAACATCTACAAACAAATTCAGTCATAGTTCTACAGCACTTGTTAAAGTAACACTTCAAGCACAATAACAACAAAACCGTAGTGGTTATCGCGATTAAAGTGCTCCTTTAATATGGGGTCAAATCTGAACTCTGTCCTTGTGGAGTTTGCTCTGCACTGACACATCACACCGTAATTTCCTTTAAATAATTGTTTTCGGTATTAAGAGTTTAGAACAACTCCATTTTGCTATGTAAGATTGTCCAAAAATTAACTTCATTCTTGCAGGTATCGTCCATCCTGCAGATCCACCAGAGGGAGTCCGGGCAATTCTTATTGCCCATATTATTAACAACAGTGCACAGTCTAGTCCTCTTCAGACTCTGCAAGAAGAGAGGTTTGTGCTTCCGCATGGTTGCCATTTAATTTCTTAATACCAAGAGTCACATCTCCCGACAATTGTTTTCGCCGTGACACACACCTGCAATAACATATTTAATCAGTAACTGTGCATTTAGATTTACCTCTTGCAGCTAGGGCTGTCATATGGGTCAAACATGTTCAATATAAAATGTCATGGTATCTGGCAAAACTAGCCACTTAAGACTATTCATGTATTGCATGTGTGGATATCCTTGTTTTAGCTGTAAGAACCAAGTATAATACTGTATGTGGCTTTCAGGCGAACAAGGGCGTTCGTATGCTTGCAATGTGGAAAACCCAGCATTCCCTATGTAGTTTCACGAACAGTGAGTTTCAACACTGTTCGTGAAACGAATGGTTGACCACACACAGGAGGTCATGTGGTGCCCATTAACCGATTGCAACATTGTTGCAATCGGTAGTTAAAGGCTTCCCTAGGTGGCCGTCGTTCGGCTACCGACCACGCGGCGGTCGGCCATCTTGATTCCTTTGTTAGCCCAGCAGGGTTTTGCCGTTAAGCACCTGGAACTAAAATCGGCTACTCGACGGCGCGAACCCTGCTGGACTTCCAGGCCGTTCAGGAGCCCTGGGCGTTCGGTAGTTTGTTCCCCTTATACTAATCGGTATTTTAACAGTGTGTTGAAAATATGTATTTCGTGCGGCGTTCGGTTAGTTAGACTGGGAGCTGAGCGGTATTCTCATGAACTGTGCGCTCAGTCCCCACCTATCTACCGAACGTCCATTCGTTTAAAATGGGAAATATTATGGAAGTTATGTATTTTAGTATAAAATGTAAGTTCTGCTGCACTGAGGGATAATCCCATTAACGGTGTATTCCAGTGGGAGTATCCCTCTCGTACAGCAGTGCATGATGGGAGAAATGTATGTGTTGGTCAGTTCCCCATGTAGTCCCCTACTGTCCCACCTCTGGAATGTCAGTAGGGAAACCCCTTGCATGGGAACTTGCATAAATACTGTGACCTGAAAATAAAACCTCAGTTGATTCCCAGCCCATGTGTTGTCTAGTTCTTGGGAAGGAAGGATTCTTACAACGCTACCGGGATTATTGTATGCTGTATTCATTTCCTTGGATTATTTTATGCTCGTCCTGTTATCCAGCGGAGATACTGTGGATTATACTACCTCTCCGCTACAGTATCCATGGATTTTATTAAATAATGTAGTATTGTTCTTAATAATGATTTTAGAATTTTTTCTTCTTATAAAAATGCAATATTTTTAAATTTTCTTTCAATTTCCCTATATCACTTACCAGAACACCAATGAATAATTTATGGCAATGATAAGAAGGGCCACAGCGTAATGCCAACAGAAGCACATGGTGATGAACATGATATTGCCGTGATCAGACTGATCCCATTCTGGTGCCCCCCAAAGCGGGTACAAAACAAATCCAATCTAGAAGGGAAGGCAGAGTTAATATAATCTCATGGCTGCAAGGCTTGGAATTTGTTTAAAACACCTTAACGCACTATAAAAATCTTCATCTAACCAAGGGATAGGAACTTGAAGTGTGATCTGACCGTTTTTCAGCATTAAAATGGACATCTAGCAATTGTCAGTTTTACACAATCTTTATACAATTATTCAATAAAGTATTTTACTGGAGAGAGGAGAGGACTGATTGACCTGTCTGATGAAGCAAATAAGTTACAAATCCCTTTTTTTGGAAAATGTTAAATGTAGGGTCTAGCAACTCAACATAGTCGCATGAGCTGCTAGCTGCTCAGAGTACCGACCCAAAACAACAAATAGACTAGCAATTAGCTCTCTAAACTGGACAACCTGCAAATAACTGCCAATTCTACCAGCCATGGCTACTAAGATCGCACTTAAGATATTGACCTTAACACCAACACGCGATCAGGCCCTAGATCAGGGATAGGCAACCTTCAGCACTCCAGATGTTGTGGACTACAATGCTTTTACACGCATAATGCTGGCAAAGCATCATGAGAGGTGTAGTCCAAAACATCTGCAGTGCCGAAGGTTGCCTATGCCTGCCCTAGATGGCTCAACATATGCTAAAAAAAACAGAGAACACAAGCTTATACCATGTTAGTCCAGGAGTGAACTGATTTTACACATAAAAAATGTACATCAACTCCCACATTGAACAGACTACTCACATTGCAAACCAAATTTAGGGAACACAAATAAAAAAAATACTTAGATGGGAACAAATTTTTACTAATGACCTCACAACTTAAATCACTCTCTACAAACTCTAAAATAGCATTCCTCTAACTCTAAGGGTAAAGCTATAAACACACAAGACACAGTCAACAAGCCAAAGGGAATAAAGGGTCCAGGCACTCCAGTAGCTTGAAACACATTTATTAGAACTCGGTGAATATGGCAACGCCTTGACCCAAAATTGGGTCTCTGTCAACGAGTTTGTCCACTTACAGCACTCTATATAACCTTAATGATGACCTTTGCTCTAAGCCCACTCCTGCACTGGCCATGACTAATTTCTTAGCAACAGTGCATCTACCCAAGCTACTCCCACAGGAACTTGATAGCGTCTCCTTGCCTTTTGAGTGTCCTGAAATAAAGAAGGCCATACAACAACTACCAGTTCATAAAGCACATGGTCCAGATCTCTACTACCAAACATATACATCCAATCTCCACCTAACATCTCTCTACAGTTCCTGGTATTCCAAAGGAGCTATACCTTGTAGCATGTCACTGGATCATACCTCTACCTTGCCGAAACCCTGCAAACCCCCCACACAATGACAACATTTTAGACTAATCTCACTCCTGTCAAACTTTATGCTAAGATTTTGGACTCAGTACCACCATTTTGTTGGAGATGTAGAGCAGATGAAGGCACCATGACACATGGTGGAACTGCCTGGAAATTCTGCCATTATGGGAAAAATGTAAAAAACCTGTTCAATTCTCAATCCTACCTACTGACCTATATACATATCTGTTCCTTCTTTTTCCTGCGGGTAGATCCATGGCTTATAAAAAATTGGATATGTTAATTATACTCGCAACTAGGATTGCACTCCACTGGAAACAAGCAACTTGCTCTTCTAACCACCAACTGATAGACAAAGTCAATCAATACCACATCTATGGACACATGTCCATTGACTCAGCTTCTTACTGAGACTTTCTGGAAAACATGTCAAACTTGGATAGGCTATCTACAACATTCCCATAAGGGAAGCATTATGTTATGGTTAAGCTCACCACACATCCTAGATTTCTGGACCTGTACCTTCTTAAGGCATAGTATAGACACAAAGATTTACAATTAGGGACACTGGAAGGAAGGGGAAAAAATAGTTATCGAATTGATCTGTGCTCACAATAACAAAGATGACGCTTTAGGGATTGCTGACTGTTCATCGCTTTCTCACCCTGTTACATTATTCCGTTTGTTAACTCAAATTGAAAAAAAAAAAATCGATGTTTCATGCTTTACCTATACTGTGCACTGAACCTTACCTGTTTCTCTTCATCTGAAAACTCAATAAAAAGAGAATAAAAAAAATAAATAAAAAAGTTTAATATAAAAAAAAAAAAGAACTTGGGTTATAAAATGTCAGTGTGAGACAGGCAGGGTGGAACAGTTTTATTATGGAGTCCCTTTAAAAGTGACTCAAAAAAGTCAAAATTAGCCCAATTGTAATGTGAATTACATAACATTCATCACACCCAAACCAGTTGCCCATATACATCCCATCACAACTACTGCTCAGATAACTCCCATCACAACCACTGCTCAGACACTTCGCACCACACCTACTGCTCGGATAACTCCCATGACAACTACTGCGCAGATACATCCCATCACACCTACTGCTCGGATAACTCCCATCACAACCACTGCTCAGACACATCGCACCACACCTACTGCTCAGATAACTCCCATCACAAATGTGCAGCTGCAGCATACCTCCCAACATTTTAAATGGACAAAGAGGAAAACAAATTTTGGGGGTGTGGACAGGGGCTGGCTATTCTGAGGAATTGTAAGTGATTTACTAATAACAATTTATAAAACTAAAATATAATTTAGAAAAAGAACAATGTATCTTATTTACACAGACTGATTTCTAAATACATTTATTGTAGTATTGTATGGGGAGTATTATTGCTGTGGAGCTCTGTTATAGACTCAGACACACCAAAAATATGGAGGTATTTTGACCAAAAATAGGGACTCTCCTTCCGGAGGTATAATACAGGCTACAGACAGTGGAGAGTTTGGGGAAACTGGTAGTGGGAAGATGGAAAAGACCAACAGAGAGAGAAAAGAAAGGAGATATCATGCCCCTATGAACCAGTCTCCTCTGCTGGGACTCACCTGCCAGAACCAGGTACCCTGGAGAAGAGCCAGGCTGCTTCTGAACAACTCCAGCACAATGTGGTCCCGTAGAAACACTTCTATCATAATGCTGATTGAACCTCCGAAGACGGCAATGAGCAGCAGGGAATGAATGTGCTGGTCAAGTGCTGGGCGATTATGTACGTGGTAATAAAAGAGCAGACCTGCAGCAAAAAGGAAAGACGTTGAAGTATAACATTGGCCATCACGTTAAGAATCAGGAGATTTTAAACACCTTTAATACCATTCTGTTACAGGAACCCTTGAAATGTACAGAATTGTATTGTATGAGGGTGCTAAGAGTTATATCCAGTACGAGTTGTTGGAGAGGCAAAGTCAATGTCCGCAGACTTACCTTCAATGAACACGGCCAGGCTCAAGAAGAGTCGGTCCATGCCCACTGGCACCTTCAGAGGAAGGTAAGTCAGAATATCCACCACCCCCGAGATGCCATAGAACAGGTACATGGTGGAATGTTGCCAGTTCATCAGTTTCACCCAGCTGTGATCCTCCCCATTGACAAGATGCATGTGAGGTCCATCTGGAACAAACTGCTCAGCCAGAATACCTACAGACAACATCATAAGACACAAACACTATAAATATAGTAACAGAAACAGAGGCGGTCAGCCAACCACCCGTACTGTCATACTGGGCAGAATGAAACACAAACACACATTGTATGACTGTAACAGACAGCAGCCCTGTGGAGTCCATCTAAAGAGTATAATGTGCATGGCATTGCAGTGAGCATTCATAAGCTCATTATTCAGAATTACCCCATGTTTAATGTTGCTGTTAGTGCTGGTGTTGGTGGGTATTTGGGTCAAGGGTTAGGAAGCATCAGAAAGTAGAGCACACTAAGGGTTTGAGGGCTGTCTTGGTTTATCTAGAAAGTAGCTGGATACTGGACTGTAGCTATACAGCCATGCAGGTATCACCCGGTTGAGCGTGATGATAGTTGAAGGATTTGGTATAAATAGCAGAAGCCTTGGCCCCTAAGGATGGGAATAATCTAAGAATTGCAGTTAAAACAAAAGCGCTTGTGTAATACTTTGTCTAAATCATATTCTTTCTATTTCAGTTCTCACAAGACAGCTGGACATTAGCCGAGGAGCTGAACAGGCGCATTCTTGTGAGTTCTGAGCCTGATTGCTGGAGAAACGCGGGCAATAAGTTCAAGTAGCACTTTGCTATTTCCAAACCATTATTTTTCAAAATTAACACAAGTTACATTGTAACACTGATATCTGTCAGGAATCCCCGAATAACCCTTTACATGTATATGTTTTTTTAAAAGAAGACAACCTAAGGTATTAAACTTGGGGTATTTTGACTCTTTTCATTCAACCATTTTACCACCGATCTATGCCAAATTTAAAAAAATAATAATAATAATTGGTGATTTTTTTGACACACATAGCAATTTAAGAATACATATAGTGAGAACTTTAAGGGTTACTGCCAAAGAACACCCCAATATGTGTTCAGCAACATCTCCTGAGTACAGTGATATCACCCATGTATAGGTTTGTCGGGTTCTCTAGGGGAAAAAAGACCTTATTTGAAGGGTGCACATTCCAGTTTTCCAACTTGGAATTTTCACAACTGATCATTATGCACCCATATCCTATTTGGGATATTTTTGAGGCCGGCCAATGTAATTTACCCCCATTAAACCATATGTTTTTTTTAAAGTAAACAACCCAGGGTAGTCAATATGGGGTATGTCCAGTCTCTTTTAGTAGCATCTTAGTCACAAACACTGGCCAAAGCTAGCATTTATATTGGTTTGTGTGTTAAAAATGCAAAAAACTATTATGAATGCTAAGTGGCTACTAATAATGACTGAACATACCTCATTTGCAATACCTTGGATTGTCTTCTTTTGCAAATGGTATGCTACCATACACTCTCAAAGGCAACATAACCAATCTGGGAAATTGAAAGAAATTGAAAAATCAAGCCTTATATTTGACCCTGTAACTTTCAAAAACACTATAAAACCTGAACATGGGGGGTACTGTTATACTCAGGAGACTCCGCTGAACACAAGTATTAGTGTTTAAAAACAGTAAAAGGTATCACAACAATGATATCATCAGTGAAAGTGCTGTTTGTGTGTGTTAAATGCAAATAACGTCACTTTAACTGACAATATCATCGCTGTGATATGTTTTACTATTTTGAAACACTAATATTCGTGTTCATCGAAGTCTCCCGAGTAAAACAGTACCCCCCATGTACCGGTTTTAGGGTGTCTTGGAAAGTTACAGGGTTAAATATAGTGCTAGCAAATAGAGATGTCGTGAACCGACTAATTTCATTCTAAGGGTATTTAAGGGTATTTAATTATAAATATATATATTAATATCAAAATACAGTTAGAATAAAATTAAAATTATATATATATAATGTAAAACTTTTTTATTATTTTAAATGTTTTATTTTTTTAATTCATTATTATTTATTTTTTATAATATATATATATATATACACACACACACACACGTGTAATTTTACTCTAAGTGTATTTTTATATTACTATATGTATATATTAATAAAAAAATACACTTAGTATGACGTTATATACAAGATATATATATACACACACACATATATACATATTATATATAGATTTTATTTATTTATATTTAATTTATTAAGTTTATTTTTTTTTTTTAAATGTTTTTTTAAACTTTTTTCACCAGCAGGGGGATTGCCTGTTAGTTCAGGCAGTCGCCCTGCAGGCAACACTATGGACGCCTATTGCGGCCATGAGCGATCACATGGCCCTTTGCAGAGGGGGGATTGTCTGGGCTGTCAGACAGTCAACCCAGTTGAGAAGAAGACCAATCGCCGGTGGTGATCGGATAAGTGAATGGGAATGGATGGTTAAAATTTATTTATTTATTTTAAATTGTTTAAAAAACATTTTTACATTATTTTATTATTCACTGAGTGCCTCGACCCCTCGAGACACTTAGCACAGGCAGAGCATCGGACGCCGGTCTGATGGCTTCCGTTGCTCTGCCTTACTGTCAGGCGCCACGTGGAGCTCCAGGGGAGCTATCACCCAGCGGCCCGGCAGTGAGGGGTGTATTGCAGGATGCCTCAACATCGAGGCATCGCTGCAATACCATCAGAGCGGCTGGAAGCGATCATGATCGCTTCCAGGGTTATAATTCGCTGCGGACGTATTAGGTACGTCCGAGGTCGTTAACGACAGTTTTTTTGTTGGACGTACCTTATACGTCCGAGGTCCTTAAAGGGTTAAATAAACTGTGGCAGCCGATCATTTACCAATAACAAATAGTCCATCCTTATATCTCCCCGCCTTGCCCAGCCAATCACTTACCCACAAGTGCAAATACAGCTTTGGTTATTCCCTCTATGAGGTCCAGCCGCTGATAAAATCTGTTGAAGCGGGAGAGACCTTTGTTCTTTTTGTTTAAGTATTTGATAGGGTGCTTCACGGACCACCACAACCCAAAGACAATGAAGAAGCTGCCCGGCAGGGCGTGACCCTTAAAATTCGCCATTTATGGGAATATCTGTGAGGAAAATAAAAAAGTGCATCACAAATATGGACAAATTGTGCGTTTCCCAAAAGCTGATGCGAACACAATGTTTCCATCAATGGACAATGTACATGGAACTTTTAACGCATTCATTGCTGCACACACACTAAAACAATATGTAAAATTTGTGTTTTCATAGAAGGCAGCTTTTTTTTGTGAAAGATCTCAATTTAATGACTCTGTACAGCTGACATTTTACAACATAGTAAGTACTTATTGAACGCAAGCTTCTACCAGGGAACGGTTAGAATGATTTATAAAACTGTGAATCTGGTTAAGGAAGGAGAACGTCGAAGACATCAGATCCAAACTCACAGGCTGTAAATGATTTGTTTTGAGACAGTCAAGTGCTAATTATACAAGCTGGGCTTTCATAGGGACACTCCAACACAAATGGGTGTAAACAGTGTGGTGGGTTTTTCATGTTTCCATTCTGTACATTCTTCAATATACCCAGCGAGCATGGCTTCTGCCCAGTTTTTAGACCTTCTCCAAATTCCACAATGTCTCCAATCCACATACAATGTGTGCGCAATACGGCTCTCTGTACACATTGTATTTGTAACGGTTCTCCAGGTTTTAACTCATTCTGTATCATTTCTTTACATACACTAAAACATTTTCTTTAGGAAATCACTGTATCCCTCACCGCATTTCCATTTATCTGCCTTTGTAAATCTGTGGTGTTGCTTTCCCGATTTAATCCCAATAAATTCCTTCAATATTGGGTTTGGAGTACTTTACTGCTATGATGTAAGTTTTACTGGTAGAGGAAATGATTATATATCATTCATTTTACATTATCAGAGAGGTTTATTGCTATGGTCTGTAATTATTATAGTTGTACTTTCAGTAGTTTTTAATAATACTGAGCCACCCAAACAGACAAAACCTACTGCTTAGTGATGTAATGTATAGAACCGAACCTTTGCTTGGTAGTAGTACAGTTTGTTGTAAATATTTCAGCATGGCTTAAGCACTGCCAAACCAAGGTCAAAAATGGCACAGGAAAAAAATGTCAGTAAAAGATTAGTAAAAGATTTAAAAACCATAAAAAACATAACAAACCACAATTCATTCAATTTGGTCTACATATTGCAATTTCCAATTCACCATAATTCATTGTTTGGTGAAATGACAATTTTTTCCCCCCTTAAAATAAGTGGTTTGAAAAAATATTATCCAACTATTATCATCATATTTTTTTTGCCAAAATTTTGCAATTCAACTTCCAATTCAGGGTAAGGACAATAAATGATCTATTAATCACTCACTCACTCACTCAAAAAGAATTAATAAGAGCTTTTCAAAAAGTTTGTAAATCAGTAATATGCCTGACTTTAACAGAGATGCAATTTAAGATCAATAATCGTACTTATCTGTTTCCTAGTCGTCTAAACAGGATGTGGTCTGGCCACACTGATTGGTGTTGGAGTTGCGAATCGCACAAAGGCGATTTATTACATATATGGTAGAAATGTGAACCGATTCAGAGGTTTTGGGGACAGATAAAGGATAAAGCCCAAGCAATAAGTAACATCAAACTCTCATTAAAGCCAGAATCCGATTTATTAAATTTAAATTTTCCAAAAATGACTAAAGCGGAGTATGACATAGTGGTACATATTTTGCTGGCAGCAAAGATCAGTATAGCTAGGAAATGGAAATTCTGTATTCCGCCATTATGGATCGAGGTTAAAAAAAATCAACTCTTCCAATTAAATATGGAAAAAGGAATAGAAAAGTACCAAAATTTTACTCTGAAGAGGAATTACAAATGGGACCAATGGATAAAATCGATCCCTGAGTGAGCATGATAAATAAATACCGTAGAATAAGATGTGATGATATTTAATCTCTCTAGGAGCTGCCCTGCCGGACATGTATGTAGTTTTATATATTCCTTCTTTTTAGTAAAAAGGAGGAGCAGATTGGGATTGTGTGATTGTGGCAAACTCCCCCTTTTAGCTGAATCTGCCACGGGTTTTTGGAGGGGACTACTTAACAGCCTTTTACCCTGTGACTATGGCCCCTTTAAGTTACTGTGGTTAAAGGGACACTCCAGGCACCCAGACCACTTCTGCTCATTGGAGTGGCCTGGGTGCCAACTCCCACTACTCTTAACCCTGCAAGTGTAGTTATTGCAGTTTTTTATAAACTGCAATAATTACATTGCAGGGTTAACTCCACCTCTAGTGGCTTTCTACTAGACAGCCACTAGAGGGCACTTCCTGGTTTCTGTGCTAGAGCGTCGCTGGACGTCCTCAAGCTATGTGAGGACCTGCAGCGTCGCTCATTTCCCCATTTTCAATGCTTTCTGTGGGGAGTGCTAATGTGCATGCGCGGCATTGCCGGGGGCATCAATCTCGCCCACTGGCCGACGCAATGCAGAGGAGGAGCGGCGGCGGAGGAGGAAGCAGCGACGAGGGACATCGTCGCTGCCTCAGGTAAGTTACTGAAGGGGATTGGGGAGTGGGAGGGAGAGGGGACCTGCAGTGCAAGGAAAACGGATTGTTTTCCTGGCACTGGAGTTTCCCTTTAAAGATACTATTTATGCCTGTTTGGGACTTTAAACAATTGTTATTCAAACTTTCGAAGTGGTTTGAAGTGCCACTTCAAACCACCGAACAGCCGGACCAGGCTGGTAGTCAACTGCAGCCAAATTGATGACGGCTGAGTGGTCACCGTTTGTATAGTCTAACACGTGGCGGTGGACATCTTGTTTAGTCGAACGTGTTCAGCGGTGTTCTGTCATTGAGTTCATGGAACTCAAATCGGACACGCGACGACACGAAAACCGCTGAACTTTACCTTCTCCGGGACTTCGACTCTTCGAAGGGAGTCGAACGGTGTTCGATAATTCATACGGCACTTTAACGTTGACTATGTTCGACTATTCGAACGGAACTTAGACATTGAAAATAGACCGGCTGCAGAGCCTAATTCCCTGGAACTGTTTTGGGCATGAAATCCTGCGCGCAGTCGGTCAAAAGAGACTTCCAGGAATTTCATGAACCCCTGCTCTTATCTGGGTGATTCTTGGATATGTTGTTCACCCAGATCAGGGCTATCCAGCGATGTAATATTTATGGAGATATGTTATGTTTTGGGGTGTTTTCTAGACTTTGTAAATGTGTTTTTTTTCTGCCTGTGGATAATTAGGTTTATGTATTAACTACTTTAATTATATCACAGGCAGAGGGGAGGGATTGTTTACTGTATGTGGGAGTGTCAGACACTGTACATTGTTTTTATTGGTTTGTACATCTTGTAATTCGGTGCTCCATCAGGTCCAGGGGGTGCTCTCCTGGCCTGGGGAATTGAACTTTAAAAGAACAGTGTGGCCATTAAACCTTCTATTCCTGCTTACACTCCAAAACTGTGTGTCTTCCTGTTATTGGGGGGAAAGAAGATTTGCTCCTGTGTCTCCTTGTAAGGACTAGAACTCATTCCCCATTTGGCTCCAGGAAGGAGCAGTTCCAGGGCCCCAGTCCAGCCACGGCGACTGTGGGCAGAAGTGCTGCGGTTTGTCCCCTGTTCCAGCTAGGAAGCGGTCCATTGGCAGAGAGGCACCGAGCCGGGGTACAGGGAGCTCCACTACAGTGATCTTATGAAAGGGAGGAGTGTTTTTAAATTGACTATGTTTTGTACCGTCGATTTTTTCTATGTCTGTTTTTCTATTTTTTTGTCAATAATAGTCAAAAAATGAATAAAGAATAAATAAATAAAAAAAACAACTTCCAATTCAGAACAACTCAGTGTTTGTAATGAACTCACATTCAGTTACAATAGGAGAAAAATCAAATCTAAATAAACCAAAAAACTTGTCTAGCACAGTCTACACACAGATAGCAGAACACAGATAACAATAGATAATGATGTGGTGCTGGTGCAGGTGGTCCATTGTACAGAACACTGGTGAGACCTCACTTGGAGTATTGTACACAGTACTGGAGACCGTATCTTCAGAAGGATATTGATACTTTAGAGAGAGTTCAGAGAAGGGCTACTAAACGGGTTCATGGATTGCGAGATAAAACTTACCAGGAAAGGTTATCTTACCATGTATAGCTTGGAGTAAAGACGAGACAGGGGGGATATGATAGAAACATTTAAATACATAAAGGGAATCAACACAGTAAAGGAGGAGACTATATTTAAAAGAAGAAAAACTACCACAACAAAAGGACAGTGTCTTAAATTAGAGGGACAAAGGTTTAAAAATAATATCAGGAAGTATTACTTTACTGAGAGGGTAGTGGATGCATGGAATAGCCTTCCAGCTGAAGTGGTAGAGGTTAATACAGTAAAGGAGTTTAAGCATGCGTGGGATAGGCATAAGGCTATCCTAACTATAAGATAAGGCCAGGGACTAATGAAAGTATTTAGAAAATTGGGCAGGCTAGATGGGCCAAATGGTTCTTATCTGCCGTCACATTCTATGTTTCTATGTTTGTATGCCGTGGTGCAAAATAGCCCGGCTAGAAAATAAGTGGGGTGGTGGTCGTGGTGGTGCCTGGCGTCGTGGTGTTCGTCTGCCAGCCGGGCTGCTTCTGTGAAGGTAAGGGGGTTACGGTCCCTCACCCACTCTTGTACTTCTGGTTCCAGCCCATTGAAGAACTGCTCCAGAAGTATAAGCTGGAGCAGCTCCTCCATGGTTGTGGCTTGGGTGGCCTGCACCCACCCCATTGCAGCTCTTTGGAGTCTACATGCCCACTCTGCGTGTGAGTCTTTTTCCACTTTCTCAGTTCCCGAAATCGCCGTCGGTATGCCTCAGGTGCGATGGAATACCGCGCAAAAATAGCTTGCTTGACCCGGGTATAGTTTTTGCTGTCCTCATCGGGTACTGCCCTTTATGCCTCGGCTGTGCGTCCAGACAGTTTTCTTGCCAACAGTGGATCCAGTCCTCACGGCCGATGTTGTGCAGATGGCACAACCTTTCAAAATCCTGGAGGAAGCCATTAATTTCTTCTTCCGTGTCCGAGAAAGACTTAAATGCATGATAGGGGATTTTTGTTTTTTTCCCTCTGAGATGACGAACATTGCTGGTGATCCCTCTCTAGTCTGCTGGTCTGCCATCTGTGTGTTGCCTGCTGTTGTCTTTCCTCTCTGGACTGCCGGTTTGCCATCTGTAGCTGTGTTGCCTGCTGCTGTCTGGCCATTAAATAGTCCTGTGCGTCTGCCATAACTCAGGTCACTGTTTCCTTTGAGGGAGTTCCACTGTAAAATGCCAGCCTTGTCTTTATTTCCCTCTGGAACGCTGTTTCATCCATAGTTAGTGGAGGTGCAGCGCTGCTGGCTTGGTCTCCCTCCATCAATTCAGCGATAAGAGTAGCTTTCGTTTTGTTGCTGGCTACCTTACCTCTTGCTTACAACAGTTCCTTTAAGGTTGTTCCTTTGAGAACGGAGTAGTTTGTCTCCATTTGTTTCTCCATTCGTATATAAATAACCACCGAACCGTGGCTTCTTTACACTGTGGGTCTGTATCCCGTTGCTTGCCACCAATTGTAGCAGAGCTGCATTAATAAAATCCAAAATCTCCACTGGTGTTCTCTGAAGCTGGAAAGGAAACACTGTTTAGCAGAAATAGCCCAATCTCCCAGTAACCCAGTAAGTTCTGGGAATCAACTGGTTTATTCAGGGCCCCACAAGGCCTATTATGCAAAAGCCCCTACATGGGGTTTCCCATACAAACTTACAGGGTAATCCCTCCCATGATCCTCTGTGCCTGAGAGATAATTACCTGGGAAAAAAACATAATTACATTATTGCTCAGGTACAGAAAAATCTAAAATTTTTACAACACCCCAAAACACACATAAAACAACCATGTACCCCCTCAAGTCTTGTATCCCTGGATAGCTTGGATCTGAGCGCACAACATATTCGAAGAGGGCTCACATCCCACAAACACAGCCAAAATGCCACCGGGGCAAAGTTTTGACTGACTGCACATGAGGCTCCTGCCCAAAATAGTTCCATAGAATCTGGGGTAGTGGTCAGTCGGCCACCCAATCGACCGTTTAGAACACTGAGGTGTGAACCATTATTGGAGTGTTAACAGGGGTGATAGAGGTTAAAAAGCATACGGGTGGTCAGGATCTTTCGTGGTTTTGTTCGGTTGTCGAACAAAACAAGGATCAAAACTAGGTGAATGTGGTTTTACTAAACAAACCAGGGGAACATAGTAGTCCAGTGACCTGGGGGTTTGTCACAGTCAAAGGAACATGGGTTAATTCCGCCACAGGGGCAATGTGGCTTCTAGGAAGACCAATAAGGAGAGGGTTACAATAATCCATGCAATAAATTACTAGAGCAAGGACAAGGACAAGGTCCATGGACAAGGTCCTTAGTAGCATCTTGTGTAAGAAAGGGGCGGATGCGGGCTATGTTTTTAAGATGGAATCTACAGGATTTAGAAACATACTGTATGTATGTATGGTGAGGCCAGAATCAAGAAAAATGCCAAGACAGCACGCCTGCAAGGATGGACTTGTGTGGATAGCACTAACCTGAAGGGAGAGTGAAAGAAGAGGATCAGTATTAGGAGAAGGAAAGACAAGGAGCTCAGAAGAAGGGGACATAGCTCTAATAAGGTGAGATGGGACAGGATCAAGTGGGCAAGTGGTGGGACGAGAGGAAAGGAGAAGAGCATCCACCTCTTATTCAGTAGCCGGGGAGAAAGTCTAAAGGGTAGGAAAGGCATGGATGTATGTATGTCTGTATCTGTGTGACAGTGTAGCTGCCTGTGTGTCAGGGTTTTATCTGTATCTAGATGTGTGTCAGTATTTGTATCTGTGTTTCTAGATGTGTGTCTGTATCTGTATGTCTGGCAGTGTTTGTATCTGTGTGTGTGTATATCTGCATGTGTGACAGGGTGTGTTTGTCTGCATGTGTGCTGATGTTTGTTTCTGCGTATCTGCATGTGTGCCAGTGTTTGAATCTTTGTGGTCAACTCTGTGTGTATTTGTGTGTGTGTGTATCGGAATAGAAACTTACCAGCTACGTTTATTCCCTTATTTGGCTGTCCATAACCCCCGTTACAGTACTGTGTCTTTTCCCCTGTTATTCAGAGTGGTTCGTCTTTGGCCGTTCGGAAGACTTCATACGAACAGGATCCATTCGTCTCCCGCACAAGGGCCACCCCAAATTGACCTCGCCACTGGTTTTTGGAGGGGCCTGTTTGCCAGCCTCCTGCCCTGTGACTATGGCCCCTGTGGTGAACTTTGGGTTAAAGATACTGTTTGTGCCCCTTTTGGACTGGTACAGTACTCCTGAACAGTCGAAGTGAGTCGAAGTGGCCGCCATTCAACATTCGAACACGTGGTGGTGGCCATCTTAAGCCGCGAGTACAATGAACTGTGTTTGGCCGTTGAGTTCATGGAACTCAAATCGGACACTCAATGCTAAAACGTTACCTTCCATGGATGTTCGGCTCTTTGAATGGGAGTCGAACGGCGTTCGGTAAGAAGATGCCCCAGAACAAGAGACATTCACTGACTATATCCACGGACGGCTTCGTTCAGTTATTCAAAACGTTGTTTCGAATCCTCGAAGTAGACCAGCCGCACAGCCTGATTCTCTGGAACAGTTTTGGGCATGAAACCATGCATGCGGTTGGTCAAAATGGGACTTTTATAGAATTCATGAATCCCTAAACTGAGCTGGGTGATTTTTGGATATGTTGGTCACCCAGATCAGGGCTATCAGGGGATGTAATAATTGTGGGGATTTTATGTGTTTTTGGGGTACTTTGGGGATTTTGTAAAATATGTGTTTTTTCTGCCTGGAGGTAATTGGGTTAATATAGTATCTGACTCAATTATCTCACAGGCAGAGGGAAGGGATTGTATGTTTGTTATGGGAGTGTCGTACATTTAAGTACTGTTTTTATTGGTTTGTAAGCTTTGTATCCCTGTCCCCAACAAGGTCCATGTGGCCGTACCTTGCTTGGGGACTTTCATAAAAGGCCAGTGTGACACCATTAAATTGAGTTCCTGCTTATCCTCAACATAGAGTCTGATCTCATGTGTGGGGGAAATGGTTGTATCTACCCTGGGGATTGCTAGATCACTATACGCCCCTGGGATTATAATCACTAGCTCTTATAAGAGCTGGAAGCTGGATCCTGGTCTTGAGTCCAAGGTGGGTGGAGGATGGTGAGTTCCCAGCCAAGCTGGACGTGGGGACTACAGTGCTTACGGTGTCTGGTGGAGTGCTTGGAGTCCTCGGTAAGCACTAGGAGCATCGACTGATGGAGGCACCCAGTCGGGGTGTCAGGCGGTCCGTCACATGCCCGATTAGAACATTGACACCAGCCCCTTAAGTGTGAAAACCGCAAGGGAAACAATTAATGAGTTCTTCCCATGGGTGGCCACCATTTCATATAAACGAACATGTGGCAGAGAGAATGGTGGCCATCTTGTCTCCCGAACTAGGGCAGTGGTACTTGGTCCTCGAGTGCCTGGAACTCTTTTCGGCTAGGCACTCGCGCGAACACCGGTAAACTTGTGACCCGTTCCTGTTCCCGACCACTTACACGAATGGCGTTCAGGAGATTTATATTACCGAACAGGGGGAGCATTCGTATCCTGAAAGCTAGAGATTCCCTTGTATGGTTTTTGCACAGGAACCTAATGAACGGAGACTGGCCTGGACACCTATTTCTCTGTTACTATTTTGGGCTAACCCCTCGTGTCTGGCCGGTCAAAACTTCATTACGATAGCATTCCCGTTCTGCCAAACCGAGTGATTCTTGGATATGTTGGTCACTCAGATCGGGGCTATCGGTGAATGTGCTTTTTGTGGGGTTCCTATGTATGGTTGGAGTACAGGATATTTTCTGGTATTTCTGTGCCTGGGAAATAATTCAATTAGGAGGAGTTTACTCAGGCAATTATCTCTTAGGCATTGAGGATCTTGGGATTAAATTCCCTGCATTTTCTGCTTGTGAAACCCCTTGCATGGAAGATGGCATAAAAACCGTGTATGTGTCAGTAAAATTCAGTTATAGTTATAGAGCTGAGTGTTGTCCAGTTGCTGGGAAGAAGATGGGAGATTCTTTGATTATTTTACTGTGCCTGACTGTACTTTGGTGTAACCAGCGGAGGAGAGTCCCTGTTAGGACTAGGGCTCTGCTACAGTGTGTATCTGTATTTGTATCTGTATGTATGTCAGTGTTTTGAATCTGTATATATGTGTGTGTCAATGTATCTGTGTGCCAGTGAGTGTCGCTGCATGTGTGGCAGTCTTTATCTAGGTTTCTGTGCACCTGCATGTGTGGCAGTGTTTTTATCTTTGTGTCTGTATCTGCGTGTGTGTTTCTTTGCGTCAGTGTTTGGATCTCTGTATCTTTATGTGTGACAACGTATGTATGTATGGTATGTCTGTATCTGTGTGTGCGCCATTATTTCTGTGTGTATCTTTATGTGTTTCAGTGTTTGTATATGTGTGTCTGTATCTGCATGTGTGAGAAAACAAGTGGTTGACTGCACTCTAAGCATGCTTAAATAGGGTGCTGCTGGGGCAATAAGTACAGTAAAAATAAAAATCCAGCGCACTCGCTTATATACTAAACAGCTACTTTGGTGCTGACAGATTTTGTTAGTTTTTTTAAACACCAAATCTAGGCAAAAAATAATGGGGGTTTAGTTACATTATATGATCATATATTGCATAAGCCTGCCACAACGTCAATGTACCCCATCTTTGGCAGGTCCTACTCTAACAGCCAAATGTCTGCTAAATGAGCTACTAGCCAGCTCCCTGGTTCTGCAGCCCTCCCTGTCACCGGTGCCTCACCCCAGGGCCCTATTTAGCCTTGTACTGCAGATAACTTGAGATTGATTTTTTTTCCACAAGTAAGAAGCTCGTTTAGCAGACATTTGGCTGTTAGAGTAGGACCTGCCAAAGATGGGGTACATTGACGATGTGGCAGGCTTATGCAATGTATGATCATATAATGTAACTAAACCCCCATTTTTTTTTTTTGCCTAAATTAGGTGTTTAAAAAAAAAGAAAAACTAACAAAATCTGTATCTGCATGTGTGGCAGTGCTTTTATCTGTAGGTCTCTGTATCTGCATGTGTGTCAGTGTATCTATGTGTCAGTGTTTTTGATCTGTGTATCTGCACTGTATATACTAAAATGACTGGGGCACATGAGAAGCAGGGGAGCCTTGGGCAGAGTAAAAGTGGAGATGGGGCAGAGAACAATGTACACATCTGAAATAGCTGCAACAATATTAATTACAAACATTTTGTTAATATGAGGGGTGCAATTTATGGAATAGGGCTGCCACGGGGTATATAAGTGATTTAGCTTGAATGATGCATGTTACAACTGTAGAAAGTAAAAATACAGAAAACTCAAAGCAGTGAACGGACGTGCAATGTTTTACGTCCATGTGGGATAACAATAGAGATTACAGTACGCAACACAAGCATGATAATCAGAGACATGTCAAATGAACACAGATTAACCAACGATGCAATCCAAACCATCCTCGACATATGTTTGTATGTTCATATTTTCCCGTGTCCCTGGTTAAGACACCAGTGTGGTCACGTATTATCTTTACACAGGAACAGGTCCCAAACAGGTGTCGCACTCCCAGTGATGTGTACTCAAGGTAAATGGTTTCACACACGATATGGGAAACTTAAACCCTCAGAGATTCGTATTCCTCCTCCGACCGCACCTCTGGGACCATACACACCTGGCTTTTTAGTTAATGTTGATTTGTTGCTGAGCTTACCATCCGGTTATTCATACTAATTAGAGCTGTGAGCTGGGTGTTGGTGGATTGAGGAGTCATACAGCCAAAAATATGTAATAATAGGAGGGCACTAAAGCACAATATGCATTGTATTTTGGCTACGTTATCTCTGTATATACTGAATTTAAGGTGAGAGAGAAATACACGGGACCACTAGTAAACTTTGCGAATAACGCAGTATATATTCATGAACAGATACAAATCAAACACATAACTCCCATACTAGAAGCTGGCCCAAACTCAACATACCATACATGGAGATAGTTACGTTTTAAAGTTCTAAAACGAGTCAACCCGCATTACATTGGTTTCTATGGTGACTGCTCCATGATGTAATAAGCACTTTACCCCCAGAATGGGTCACATTCATCAAGAGAGAACTTGAAGAATTCCAGTCAAAGTGTTAAATTCTGATTAATCATCAATGAACCCAGTGCAAAGTTTGGATTTTAGCTCCATGCTTGTAATTGACAGAAAGTCCTCGTTAGTGTCTGAGGAGGCCGTTGAACCACAGACACCTGTTGAACTATTGAAAAATGGAGCAGGGGACTGCCAGGGCACTCCTATCTCCAATAGAACTGCTTCTTAGACTGACCCTTTATCAGTGAAAATCAGCACAGTCCAGTTTGAACAGAAATATTCCATCCTCTGGCTCAAAGGGAGGAATTTGGTCCCTAATCAGATAGATCTCCCTGGGGCAGGGCCGCAGAGAGACACACATTTTGCTAAATGTTTCAAAGTAGAGTGCAAACAATACATGCCCGGTAACAGTGTAACTGTGTAATGTGTAACTAGTTACATTTCCAACACAACTTAAACATGAAAACAGGTTCTTCAGGAAACGGCGACAAAATGTCAGAAATGCAAGATCAACTGGATAATTGGAAAATTTAACCCTTGCCGTGCCAAGAGAACGAATTCCAGATACATAGATGGACACACACATACAAAAATAGCACAGTTTCATTAGATTTAAATTTTATGCAGCAAAACACCAAATTATAGTAAGTTGGAAAGTGCTTTAAAAATGCATGATTTGGAAAAATGTATAAAACTTCTTAAAAATGTCTTACAAAACTATTTAACGATGTGTGAATCATTGTGAATATAAAATATATCTACATTTGTAGGTCAGAAGATCTGAACTAGAAGCATGGCTGACTAGGAGGATTTCCTAATTCGGCTATTGTGGCTAATAGCCACTCTGAAATCGGAACTAATCACACTTTGTTCTATAGCCCACAATGTGGCTAGTTCATCCTGCATTTCACAATTCACCATCAAAGAGTGATCCCCAAACATTTGTAGGGTTGCACAGTGTGAGGACAAGTCTATAAAAGTGCACACATTTACTATTTAAATAATCCACATGGCCACCTGTTTACCAACACATCTATAAACTGAGCAATTTATTATATAAATCAGCAGTTACAGTTACTGTGAGTAGAACATTCCATCGGTTTCCATGGTGATCTTACATTTAGACCTTTGCCCCAGCATTTTCCTTTGCATGCAATAAATGATAAATAAGTAATAGGGAAATGTCAAGGGATCAATACCTGGTGGAAACTTCGCTGTCCTCAATAAATACATAGTAACTGCACTCATACATTACCCCATTAAACACTACACCTCATTTATTTGTTATAGAAGATCCTAATCTGCTCATTAAGGATCGTCATGAAGAAAGATAATACAGAAAGCTAGGTGTACACACAGGGTGTGGAGTGTTAGAATGAGTTGCCAGATCAGCGTTCTCTTCCCGCATACCTTGTCTGGCATATAGACCAATATTTCCGATTTAATATATACATTATGTATATACAATCTATACACACACACACACACTACGTATATACAATCTATACACACACACACACACTACGTATATACAATCTATACACACACACTACGTATATACAATCTATACACACACACTCACTATGTATATACAGTCTATACACACACACACACACACTACGTATATACAATCTATACACACACACTACGTATATTATTATTATTTTATTATTTATATAGCGCCAACAAATTCCGTAGCGCTGTACAATGGGTGGACTATCAGACACATAACTGAGATCAGACACTGACGTACAGGAACAGAGGGGGTTGAGGGCCCTGCTCAATGAGCTTACATGCTAGAGGGAGTGGGGTATAGTGACACAAAGGGTTAAAGTAGGGGAATTAAATAGTTTGTTACAGAAGGGTTTATTGAGTGCTTGGTAGGTCATTTTTGATAGGTGAAGGAACGGAGTCATAGGGTGGGGTATGAGAAACCTGCTGACAGTTTAATTGATATGCTTTAATGAAGAAGTGAGTTTTCAAAGATTTTTTGAAGGAATGGAGACTGGGTAAAAGTCTGATTGAGGAGGGAAGGGAGTTCCACAGAATAGGTGCAGCCCTGGAGAAGTCTTGAAGGCGAGCATCAGAGGTGGGGATCCGGGCAGAGGATAGGAGTAGGTCTTGGGCTGAGCGCAGGGGTCTCGACGGGACATACTTGTGTATGAGGGAGGATAGGTATGTTGGAGCAGCATTATGTAGGGATTTGTAAGCAAGCATAGATATATACAATCTATACACACACACTCACTATGTATATACAGTCTATACACACACACACACACACAATGTATATACAATCTATACACACACACACACTACGTATATACAATCTATACACACACACACACACACACACACACTACGTATATACAATCTATACACACACACACACTACGTATATACAATCTATACACACACATTACGTATATACAATCTATACACACACACTCACTATGTATATACAGTCTATACACACACACACACACTATGTATATACAATCTATACACACACACACACTACGTATATACAATCTATACACACACACACACACTACGTATATACAATCTATACACACACACACACTACATATATACAATCTATACACACACTACGTATATACAATCTATACACACACACACTATGTATATACAATCTATACACACACAATATGTATATAGAAACTATACACACACTATGTATATAAAATCTATACACACACACACACACACACACACTATGTATATACAATGTATACACACACTATGTATATACAATGTATACACACACTATGTATATACAATGTATACACACACTATGTATATACAATCTATACACACACACTATGTAATACAATCTATACACACACTATGTATATACAATCTATACACACACTATGTATATACAATCTATACACACACTATGTATATACAATGTATACACACACTATGTATATAAAATCTATACACACACACACTATGTATATTCAATGTATACACACACAGATTGAAAGACGTTAATATCCCAGATGTTGCGGTTGATCCAAACTAAGGTGAAAACACACAATTTTAAGCAAATTCTAATTGTATCTGTAACAGAAGATTTATTTCCCAATTGTAAAGTGGCAATCAAATTAAAGAAATTAATTAGGTTTATAAACTAATAACGTCAAGGCATCCTGCTGGTCTAATTAAGAGCAATGTAACATGTCTTACCTGTGCCAGGTAATCTCCGCAGGTGTTCTCCATACAGGATTGAATAGCAGAACTGAACCAGCAGGTACAGGTGCACAGAGCAGGGAACCTGGGTGGGGCTGTGCCTTGCAACCTTTACACAGGATAAGGCAGAGAGTGACATATAGAGATGGAGCAGGTAATGAATAGGTGTTTAATCCCATCATTATTATCGCATTGTCACATCATTGAGGTGAACCGTCACACGTTCAGTCAGTCAGTGAGAAACACATGTTGATAAAGAGTCAGTGTAGACGAAACGTTTACAGAGCCCTCTTAGGTATTTAACTTATCTTTTCAATTCCCTCCGCACCCCCAGCAGGCACAGGGCTGACTTTCTATTTCATTTTTTTGCATTCTTGTTTATTTGATTTGGGTTGGATACTATTTTCTAATTATATTGTTATTGACGCACTGCCTGCTATTTATATGTCATGTTATAACTTTTTTTTAATAAATAAAGATGCACTACCTCGTTTATGTATAATAAATGGCAGTGAGTGTGGACCTTTTGGAGCAATGTAGTGAAAATAAAATACACATATTTGTGTTCAGTGATGTCTCGCAACTACAACAGTACCCCCCATATACAGGTTTTATGTTTTTTTTGGAAAGTTAAAGGGTCAAATATAAGGCTGCCCCCTTTTCCATTTTTACACACTGAAATTTGCCACATTGGTTTCCTGGGACTATGTTGCCTTAAAGATTATATAGCAGCCCAGAAATTAAATTTACCCCCATCATGGCATGCCATTTGCAAAAGTAAACAACCCATGGTATTCAAAATGGGGTATGTCCAAACTACACTTTCACGGAGGATATCAATGTTTAGTGACCTAACATGAGCACAGTAGCCCCCCCCCCCCAATGTACAGGTATTATGGAGAATCACAGGGTAAAATATAGGGCTTGCAAATTAAATTCTCTGTTATTTCTGCCTGTGATGTCAGGCAGGTCCCTCAATATATAATGAATGAAATTCTATATAAAATACATTTTAGAATTAAAATAAAATAAACGTGTTTAGATTTGTTTTTTTTATTTTTAATAATAAAGTTGTATGATTAACCAATTGGTATAAGTTACGTTTCTACTCAAGACAGGTATGCCTAGCTTGTTTTTTTGTTTATTATTTTCAATATATGAAGGAGGGTATTCTGCATTGACACTTCTGCATATAAAATAAAAGTGCTGTATTTTGGATATTTTGGGGTGATCTTGTTTCCATGCTTGCTGTCCACACTCATATCAAAATGTCTGTGTAAGTTTGCATGTATTCCTAAGCACTGCAAAAATAAAGAATGTAAAAAAAATAAAAAATAAAAGGTGTATGATTATTATTTTTCTTCATTATTTCAGCAATGGGGGACTGCCTGACATCCCAGCCGATCCTGGGATCACGATGACATTGCAATCACATGGCCTGAAAGGCTAGACTGGTTGTAGGGGTACTGCCTGGTTTGTCAGATCGCTGGGTAAGGCAAGTATGGAGGGACGTCAATCCCCATGGCGTACTATGCCGCACCGTGGCATAAAAGCCCACCTATTGCAGGACAACATAGTACGCCTGCCATTCTTAACAGTTCAAAAGTGTCATAAAAATCCAAAGGTTAAAACCAAAAACATAAAAACATGTAAGTCCCAACCACAAAATAAAATAAAATTCACATTTAAGGCTGGAACAGCTGAAGTGAAAGTTTAACTGAATTTTTCTAGTCCGGCTATTTTGACTTAAATTTGAAATCCACTTTTATTTCTCACTTCAGTAAATAAGCCTGAATGCCAGAGTAATATTAAATATTGAAACACACAGGACGTGTGTAGTTTACTCTACACGTGAAATGAGCCCACGGATCCGTGTCACACAATTTCACAACGTGCATTGTGCCAGATCTCTTCATGCAATCAGTGGATCAACATATTCTGTTATTACCTGGTGCAATATCTCCTCTAACCCATACCTTATATTCTATTAGTGTAAAAACGTACTGACCCAGTAATACTCATATAAGCTGCCCCAGCATGATCATCGAATGATCATCAGCAGCCTCGTACGTCATAACCACAATCTGCCGGGACACTCGGCATACATTGTAATATTTTATATCCTGGAAACACAACGTAATAAATAGAGGCATCACGTTTGGAGACTGTTGGGGTTTTAGAACGAGAATAATGGATGGATTAAGCATCAACGTAAACCCGTGAACATAACATGTTAGTTACATTGGGTTTAGAAAGAAGCTGTGACTAAACACAACCCAGGTAACGGGCCAGATAAAGGGGGAAGTTAGGGTTTACATGTTTTTATTTTACCTTTGATAGGTTTTTGATGACTATTCTTTGGAAATTTCTATGTAAAAATAAGTTGGGAGATGATATCTGAAGGCTGTGAGTGATCAGTTCTCATTTTATTTTCCTACACCAAGATATCGGTTGGTTTCCCAGTGACAATCATCACATACGTTTCCAAGCCACGCCTGGTCAAATGGTGGACCTCTACTACCAACTGGCAAGAAGGCGCCCCAGACCCCTGAATCAGTTTAACTTGCTGGAGTGCTTAATATGTGAAGTGGGTCCTCTTTTTAGATATTACGATATTATTGTAAGTGCAGATTTCAATAGAAATTGGCACATTTATAAACGAACCTTACACAACCGGTCCAGTTAGTTCTTAAAAGTCTGTATTTAGACAATATGGGCTGGGTAAGAAGGGGAAGGCTGTAAACAAGAGACCTGCAGCTTTTGCAAATTGTTTTAGATACACCCTCAATTAAACAAATTGGATACGTGTGGGTTTTCCTCCTTTGGACAGGCCTACCAAATAGGCAGGGCCATCTTTAACGCGGGGCAAACGGGGCAGCTGCCCTGGGCTCAGTTACTCCTGGGGGGTAACATGTTTTTTTTCCAGCTATATCACGGGGTATAGAGCCTTGTAGGGAGGTATATCACGGGGTATGCAGCCTTATAGGGAGCTATATAATGGGATATACAGCCTTGTAGAGAGCTATATCACGGGGTATACAGCCTTGTAGGGAACTATATCACGGGGTATACAGCCTTGTAGGGAGCTATATCACGGGGTATACAGCCTTATAGGGAGCTATATAACGGGATATAAAGCCTTGTAGGGAGCTATATCACGGGGTATACAGCCTTGTATGGAACTATATCACGGGTTATACAGCCCTGTAGGGAGCTATATCAGAGTTGTAGTAAGCTATATCACGGGGTATACAGCCTTGTAGAGAGCTATATCACGGGGTATACAGCCTTGTAGGGAGCTATATCACAGGGTATACGGCCTTATAGGGAGCTATATCACAGGGTATACAGCCTTATAGGGAGCTATATAACGGGATATAAAGCCTTGTAGGGAGCTACATCACAGGGTATACAGCCTTATAGGGAGCTATATCACAGGGTATACAGCCTTATAGGGAGCTATATAACGGGATATAAAGCCTTGTAGAGAGCTATATCACAGGGTATACAACCTTGTAGGGAGCTATATCACTGGGTATACAGCGTTGTATGGAACTATATCACAGGGTATACAGCCTTGTAGGGAGCTATATCACAGGTTAAACAGCCTTGTATGGAGCAATATCACAGGATATACAGCCTTGTAGAGAGCTACATCACAGGATATACAGCCTTGTAGGGAGCTATACCACGGGGTATACAGCCTTGTAGGGAGCTATATCACGGGATATACAGCCTTGTAGGGAGCTATATCACTGGATATACAGCCTTGTAGAGAGCTACATCACAGGATATACAGACTTGTTTGGAGCTATATCACGAGGTATACAGCCTTGTAGGGAGCTATATCACGAGGTATACAGCCTTGTAGGGAGCAATATCACAAGGTATACACTCAGCCTTGTATGGAGCTATATTACTGGGTATGCAGCCTTGTAGGGAGCTATGTCATAGGATATACAGCCTTGTAGGGAATTATGTCACGGGTTTTAGACTCTCGTAGAGAGCTATATTACAAGGTATACAGCCTTGTAGGGCAGTGTTGCATTATGGGTATCTCTATCACAGGCTGGAGCCGCATTGTTGCATTATGGGTCTCTCTATCACAGGCCGGAGCAGGCAGTGTTGCATTATGGGTATCTCCATCACATGTCAGTGCCGGCAGTGTTGCATTATGGGTCTCTCTAGCACAGGCCGGAGCAGGCAGTGTTGCATTATGGGTATCTCTAGCACAGGTCGGTGCTGGCAGTGTTGCATTATGGGTCTCTCTATCACAGGTCGGTTCCGGCAGTGTTGCATTATGGGTCTCTCTAGCACAGGTCGGTTCCGGCAGTGTTGCATTATGGGTATCTCTAGCACAGGTCGGTGCCGGCAGTGTTGCATTATGGGTATCTCTATCATATCGCATTATGGGGCATGCTTGCATTATGGGTATCTCTATCACAGGTCGGTTCCGCAGTGTTGCATTATGGGTATCTCTAGTTGCATTATGGGTATCTCTATCACAGGTCGGTTCCGGCATTATGGGTGTTGCAGTGTTGCATTATGGGTATCTCTATCACAGGTCGGTTCCAGTGTTGCACATCTCTATCACAGGTCCCGGCAGTGTTGCATTATGGGTATCTCTATCACAGGTCGGTTCCGGCAGTGTTGCATTATGGGTATCTCTATCACAGGCCGGAGCAGGCAGTGTTGCATTATGGGTATCTCTATCACAGGCAGTGTTGCATTATGGGTATCTCTATCACAGCGCCGGCAGTGTTGCATTATGGGTATCTCTATCACAGGTCGGTTCCGGCAGTGTTGCATTATGGGTATCTCTATCACAGGTCGGTTCCGGCAGTGTTGCATTATGGGTATCTCTCTATCACAGGCCGCAGCCGGCAGTGTTGCATTATGGGTATCTCTATCACAGGCCGGAGCCGGCAGTGTTGCATTATGGGTATCTCTATCCAGGTCGTGCCGGCAGTGTTGCATTATGGGTATCTCTATCACAGGTCGGTGTTGCATTATGGGTATCTCTATCACAGGTCGGTTGCATTATGGGTCTCTCTATCACAGTGTTGCATTATGGGTATCTCTATCACAGGTCGGTGCCGGCATTATGGGTCTCTCTGTCACAGGTCGGTGCCGGCAGTGTTGCATTATGGGTATCTCTGTCACAGGTCGCATTGATGTGAATACTGAAGGTTTTCTCTCTCTCTTTTTATTTATTTTTATTTGGTATAATATTTGCATGATATTAAAATAGCTGCAATAGTAGTAAACATTATAGACTAAACACTGTGGCCAGCCTATATGTTAGGAACACAACAATACTAAACCTATGGTACAATGTGTCCAGCTTAATAGAAGGCTAGTGACAATATGTAGACAGATACTTAGACCAGGGAGCCTTCAGGCACCTACTGGAAAAACAGGTAGCATTTGGAGATTCGGCCGAGTGTGGCTGAGATTCGCCAGCAGTTGGTGGGGATAGTCCCAATCCCCTGAAGGACGTTGAGGCCTCTGTAACAGACGCAAGTCTATGTACAGTTCCATGATGGGTCACCAGATACTCCCTGCCCGTGATGATAAGTCTCGGTATCTTCTAACAGATACAATTCGTTCTACATACATGCCACAAAGTATTTGCTCATGAAAATATTATATTATAAAGACAATACTAACAGCATTTCTTTGGGCAATTTCATTAACCGTATACAGTCATGTAGACATCGTGTGAACATAAAGAGCTTGCAGCAAGGTGCTGTCACATGAGATTATCCACACCCAAGTATGAAATGCAAGTTCGAAAATCTCCAGAATGTAGAAAAACGAAAATGTTCTACAGCTGGGCTTGAAGGACTTCCTGATTGCACTACTCCTGTTAGCAGGTTGTGACATTGTCAGGGAGAGGAGAGGGTGGGCATAGATCTTTATGTGGGCAGAGAGAGATGGGGCACGTGTCGTCACAAGGGAGGAGAGGTCTAGGCACACATCACCAAGGTGGCAGGAGTGCGCACTTCATGGTCCCTTTAAGGGATGGACACACACGGTGTCAAACACTCTCACTGACATGTACACATGTCACTTAGTCTCACACCAGTTTAGACAGTCACACAAATACAACAAACAATCTAGCATACACTCAAAATTTACATTCACAAAATAACAACCACTCCCTCGTCTTTCAGCTTACCTGTGCTGCTGTGACTGGAGCAGAAAGGGATCGGTGTATAGTATGTGTGTACATAAAGTGAGTTTATAGAATGTGTAGAGTGTGTGTACAGTGGATGTATTGTGTATGTTTGATGGTATAGTGTATATATACATTTTGTTATATGTGTGTAGTGTGTGCATAGGGGGTATAGTGCGTATTGGGGTACAGTGTGTGTATAGGAGGCATAGCGTGTTTTGGGGTATAATGTGTGCAAAAGGGGTATAGTGTGTTTTGGGGTATAATGGGTGCAAAGGGGGTATAGCGTGCGCATAGGAGGTATAGTGTGTATAGGAGGTATAGTGTGTGCATTGGGGTATAGTGTGTGCAAAGGGGGTGAATATAGGAGGCATGGTATGCATTGGGGTATAATGTGTGTAACAAATGCCCTGTAGTCTGGTCATTTGCCACAAGCTCCAGGAGGAGCCTGCCAGCCAGCCTCCTGCTCCAGGATTATGGGCCATACAAAATACCCTGCAAACTACTCTGTTCGTGTGATTTGGGACTATGTTGTTCGGGAACCAAACAACCGCACGAACCAGAGACCACCCGGGAGATTGTTAAGCCGAATTGACACTGTATTCCAGGGTAGAACTATAAATTCTGTTCGGTAGTTTGTTCGGTTTTAAACTACCGAACTTGACCGACCGTCAAACGTGAGGTAGGCTGAACTTGATGGACGCAAGTCTCTTTTCAGCTATGTAACTATGTTAGCACTGATTTCATAGAACTGTGTTGGGCATTAGATCATGTGCACGGGCGGTCAAAATGATGACTTCCATGGAAATCCCAAACCCCTATGCCGATCTGGGTGATTTTTGGATATGTTGGTCACCCAGATCGGGCTATCAGGGGATGTGACTTTTGTGGAGTTTTCATGTGTTTTGGGGTATTTTGTTTTTTTTGTTATATTGCCTATTTCTCTACTGAGAGATAATTCAATAATAATCTCAAGCACAGGGGAGGAGTATGTTAGATGTTTGCTTGTAACTAGTCTCCTCTCAGGTCCAGGGGAGGGATTATCCTGTTTTGTGTGGGAGTGTTATGGGTGTATTTGACTGTGTCTAAACTGTAAAAAACAGGCCATCTGGCCGGATTAAAGCATTCCAGCTTGTACTCCCAGAACTATCTGTCATCTGGTTATTGGGAGGGAAAGGGCTAATCACTAATCACTGTTCCAGTGTGGAGGATTCAACGGGAAAAGTCCTTGTAAGGACTAGAGCTCCCAGGACTACGTATTGTCCAGTGCCTGGGGGTGGATAGAGCGAGTTCCCCATTTTGCTCCAGGAAGTAGTGGTTCCAGGACCACAGTCAAGCAACAGCGACTGTGGGCTGAAGTTCTGCGGTTTGTCCCCTGTTCCAGCTAGGAAGCAGTTCTTGGCAGAGGTAGCCAGCCAAGGGTACAGGGAGCTCCGTTACAATGTGTGTGTGTGTGCACAGGGCATATAGTGTGTGCACAGGGCAGAACTAAAGTCATTAGTCCTGGATCTCTACAGCTGGTGAAGGGGCAGGTTGATATTAGTGGGGGTTTAATTATTATTTTTCATTTTAAATCAAGCAGCTGCTTCTTAATGCAGCCATATATTAGTGGTGCAGAGCTCCACCAGGCCACTTCGTGGGAGGGAGGGATATCCCCTAGATCAGGGGTCTACAACCCCCAGGCTGTGGACAGGCGCCGGTCCGCAAGAATTTATTGCCGGTCCGCGAAAGCTTTCACTCGACTATACCGTTGGGTGAAAGATATTTCCCCGGTGCTATGATCTTATGATTGTAGCACTGGGAACCATGCCTCCCTCTTCCCTGAAGGCTCTGCAGGACCGGAGGGGAGATCAGAGATCTCCCTCTCCGGCCCGCTCACAGTGTACTGCTGGCAGCTGGCAGGGGAGGGAGGGAGAGAGGACCGGGGGGAGACCTAACCTGCAGCTCTGCTGGTTCTCCTTTCTTGAGCTCGGAGCATTGCCGTGGTTACTGAGGCTGCTAGAGTTCACTCTCACCATTGGGACCTCCAGGTATTGCAGGAAATGTCCCCCCTCCCAGGCAAAGGTAATCAGGGAGGGGGAATATCAAAATTACTTTTATTCTTTTAATTAATTAATTTAAAATAAATATATATATATATATATGTGCAAAAAACAAAAAGATTCCTTGCACTCACGTTATCCTTGGTAATGCCGGGTGCATAAGCCAGCTGACAATTCAGATATAGTAACAAAAAGATGATAGCTGCACTCCACGGTCTTCTTATATTAAAAATTCAAATAGCTTTATTAGATATGCATTAAAAGAGATCGACGTTTCAGCCCCATGTTGGGCTTTCCTCAGGATCAGAAAAAACAAACCTTTGTTTTTTCTGATCCTGAGGAAAGCCCAACATGGGACTGAAACGTCGATCTCTTTTAATGCATATCTAATAAAGCTATTTGAATTTTTAATATAAGAAGACCGTGGAGTGCAGCTATCATCTTTTTGTTACTATACATATATATAAAAATCTACCCTCCAACCCCACAGACCCACAATCATTCTCCCCTAGACACACACACACACACACACACACACACACTGCTCCCCATACACACACACACACACACACACGGTTGGATCCCAGTGAATCCCTAGTTGTGCACAATGTGCTCGGTTCTGGTTTTCAATGAGATCCCAAGTGCATCAGCCACACGCTTTTCCTGGGTAGAGAGAATGGGACACGACACAGAAAGGCAGGATATGTCCTCTCTGAGTTTTCCATTGGCTCACGCTGCAGGGCTTTTTAGAACCCAACACGCCCGAGCATCAAACAATCCAAGCTTTATATACCCTCTGTCATCCCCCCACCCCTCCAAAATGAGTATTTCCTAAAGATCGAGTCTCAGATTCACCGTATAGGAATTTCATTGACATTTCAACCCAGTTAAAGCATATACGTGCAATCTAGGGTTTACGTTATCTGCATTTGTTGTCATTTCCTGCAGCCCCCTTCGGCTCAAAATGGAGTACTATTGTGCAAGCATGATAGTACAGCACAGACGTTGACTCCTGGCAGCTGCAGGAACGGAAGAGGAGCGAGTGGAAGAGGATGGCGACATCCACTAGGGAAAGATTCAGGGAAGTAAAACGTACCTTCTCCTACTCCCCATGACCACCAGCAGTGATGTCACCATTGGGGGTCTTTGCAAATTACATAAAGACCCCAGACTGTAACAGAGCCGCTTGAAAGGCAGTGACAACTTATACACAGATATTACATTCATTCACAATAAAACCAGCCATGAATATCTGTGATAGATCTCACCATTTCCCACACATTCAGAGGTGTTCACTAACCTTCTAACTTTACACAATTCTTATCCAAGTTCCAAAATTCAGGCTCAAACAGCAGAGCTGTGACAATACGGAGAATTTGCCACTAGTTGGCTATTTTAGGGTTCATTTTACATGTGAGGTTTAAGATGTTACACTACGGAGTTTGGCGAATAAACCCTTTGAAGGAATAGACAAAAAACAAACCGTTGCTCGTAGCGAGGAAACCCAGATCAATACCTGTAAATCAGGCTCAGAAACACACCCTGGATATTCTGCAAAACCAGCCGGACTCTGGACCCCACGTGATCCTGGTGGCATTGTCAATGGATTCACTGTCACCTGGGGAGAGGGGAATGTTACAAGACAGATAAAGGAGGGTTTATTCACTAAACAGCAAACTCGCACTGAACGGAAAATAGATTTACAAAATCTAGGCAAAAAGTGCTAATTTATAAAAATTCTACAACTAGGCTACAGTCACCGCTTGGCTTTTTTTTTTTTTTTTTTTTAATTTAGCAGTTTGGGTTTTCAGTTAATTACAATTCAGTGTGAGTTAGAACTGTGTCCAATCCCTTCTGGCTGCATCGAATAAATAAATCCCTGTTAATTGATGGATGAACTAATTGATTTATTTGGGATTGCCGAGCACAATTGATGTTGTCATCCATCTATAAACAGGGGTTCGATTCGTTCAGAGAAGCTGGTAGGGAATTCGCAGTGAATGTTATTATCACAACAGCTACAGGGCTTATCAGCTAAACCGTGAATTTTTGGCTAATATAACTTACAAAACTTGCCATTTACTGCACAATCCCTGGTTTACACACTGAAATGACCGAAAATCAAAATGGCTAAATTTAGGCAAAAACAGGCAAACTGTTAACCATCTCCAAACTCCGAGCAATTTATAGTATTACAGGCAGGGCCGCAATCAGGGGGTGACAACCATAATGGGGCTGCACTCGGATGCGGCCCATTGGGTGGCCCACGCACTTAGGGCCTCCCGATGGGCCCCATATCTTCAGGGGCCCGGTCAGCGCTGTGGCCGTGGTATAGCGCGACCGGGCCCCTTTAAAAAAATGCCGGGTGGGAGGAGCGCACGCCTGGCGATGAAGAGGGAGAGCCAGCCAACTCCCAGTCCCATCAGCCCCAGCCACCCTCCTGCAAAGACAAGGTAAGAGACAGGAGGGTGGCTGGAAAATGAGCTGTGTGTGTATGTGTATGTGAATGCATGTCTGTATGTATGTCTATGTCTGTGTGTATGTATGTATGTCATTATATATGTATGTCTGTATGCATGTCATTATGTGTGTATGAATGTGTGTATGTATGGATGTCAGTGTCTGTATGTATGTATGTCTGTATGCATGTCACTGTCTGTGTGTATGTATGTATGTATGTATGTCTGTATGTCATTATGTGTGTATGAATGTATGTATGCCAGTATGAATGTATGTCTGTATGAATGTATGTCTGTATACATGTCTGTATGTCTGTCTGTATGCATGTCATTATGTGTGTGTGTATGAATGTCTGTCTGTCTGTATAAATGTATGTATGCCAGTATGAATGTCTGTCTGTATGTCATTATGAATGTGTCAGTATGTCCTTATGCATGTGTGTCTGTATGTATGTTAGTATGTGTCTGTCACTATGTACGCCTGTGTGTCTGTATATGTGTGTATGTCTCAGTATGTATGCCTATATGCGTATCAGTATGTGTGTCTGTATGTATGTTAGTATGTGTCTGTCACTATGTACGCCTGTGTGTCTGTATATGTGTGTATGTCTCAGTATGTATGCCTATATGCGTATCAGTATGTGTGTCTGTATGTATGTTAGTATGTGTCTGTCACTATGTACGCCTGTGTGTCTGTATATGTGTGTATGTCTCAGTATGTGTGTGTCAGTATGTATGCCTAGATGCATATCATGACAGACGCACAGTCGGATTTGCCGGCATATGCGCTAACCTTACCCAAACCCCCATTAAAACACGGACACAGGTTATACTGTTGGAAATAATTAGTCCACAGCTTTATTAAATTACATAACATACCCCTAGCAATGACCCCACAATAATAACAATCTAAATAACATGTTAATGCAGAAACTGGCCGCCAAATATGACCACATTTCCACCAGGTCAAATTGTAGGGGTGTATCGAGACACCGCTACCCACCATATCGATTGTAGGGGTGTACCAAGACACCGCTACCCACCATATCGATTGTAGGGGTGTACCAAGACACCGCTACCCACCAGTTCCAGTGTAGGGTGTACCAAGACACCACCACACCCCCAGGTTCGGAGCCACCGACAGGCTCGAACCTACCAACCACGTGCAACACTGCCCAATCCACACTAAACCTCAGGATGCCCACTTTCTCCTCCATCTACCCTCCGATTTAACCAGGCCATTTCCCGCCATTGGCGTACCTCCTGAACCGAGGACCCGGCTGGATGGTAATCCGCATGAACCCCGCCGTATTTTCCGTGAATTACGACTTTTCGTCCCTTAATCCTTCACCTTTTAGAGCCACGGCCACTCCCAATGGAAATAACTCAAAAGATGCCAACTTCGAATAAGAGGACTTACCTTTCATGCCTCCCGCCACCGCTCCGCGCACCACCTGCCTTCCAGGTATGCCGCGGAATCTATGTTCCCAGAGGCATCCGTGAACAACTCGATACCACCCGCAAAGGCTCCACAAGTAGCCTTCGCCATGAAATGGCTATAGACCCAATCCTCGCGACTAACCCGACATGAGAACAGCGTGACCTTCTTGGACCTGCGAACCTTCACCGTGAACTCCCAAAGTGCAGTCAACTGATCCCCAGTCAATCGACACTCTCCTACCACCAAAACAATTTCCAGCCCAAGCAAAGACGTGCGGTAGGATTCCCGCGACCGTAAGGTATGTCCACCATGGCCCGGCCCAGCCGAGCCCACACAGAAAGCTGTCTTACAGATAATGTACTAAGGAACCCCTTCCTGATTCTTCTTTCACCACCCACTCCCAGACAGAACCAACTTCCCGAAGTAGGAACATGAAATGGAACCGCCCCTTGGCAAGCAGAGGTTACCAATAGGCACCTGCAAACATGCAACCCAAAAGATGGAAGGGTCGCCAATAATCGAACGCGTCACGCTCCCCCGAACCAACTCGACGGCAAGGCCAAATGATGCCACAGATACAGAACAGGTCCGCGTTGATGTCCTCATTTACTGATGACCCTTTCGGGTGCGATAAGTTTTGTATCAGACAAAATTTGCCCGCCCCTTTCTAGGGGACCACCCCCCACGGAGACACCCACAGATCCGCCAGTGGCCTCCCAATTAGGCTTCCTCGCGTGACCACTCGCGAACCAATCCCAGATGTTCCCCCACGGACTTAATATTCACCCACCACTTTTCCTGGTCCCTCGACTTTGAATGGAATAGCGAAACTCCCCCCCAACAATCCCAGCCATAAAACTAGCACCTTCTTGGGAGGCTTACTGCCTTAGCCACAGCAGCAACGCACTGATCGTCACAGGTGGCGCTCCGAGCCGCAAACGCGGGACTGAAGCCCCGGCGATTAGCCCTCCTGCCTTAGGTTTTCCTTTCTTGACGCGTCATTTTACACCGTGACTCCCACCGCCTCCGGAACACCCGTATCCAAGCCTACCCGACGGTCCCAGTTGCATTGACCTTTCTTCTGTCCGGCCAGCACCACACCTCCTGGGGGCGCGCCGGCAGCCCCCAGAAAGAGCTCATTTCCTGCACCATCATTAGGAACCGGGCACCTTACCCCGATTACGCCTACTAGGATACAAAAGCCCTAAGTCAATTCCTAAAATCTTCAGTATCTTGCGATACGTCTGCCTTTTCCCTCCTCTTCTTTTCCGGCCTCCTATCAACCCCTTTTAAATCAAGGAATTCCTCAAGCGGAAGACAGGAATTTTTTTTTTTTACAAATCCCCTTAATCAAATTTTATCCTCCGCCTTCAAGTGACCCCCAATGTCCCCTTGAAGGACACGTGCCCATTTTGTCGCGCCGCGCCTGGAATATTGCCACATCTAACTGTTCTCCCGCCCCGTCGGATGTCCCCGGTACCGGTACACCGTATTCCCCTTCCCTTACCCGGCACACCATCACCACCACCCTAACTTCTGCCTCCCGACCGCCCTCCAGTGACCCCACCCTTCCGCACCGCGGGGACTGCCCCTTTTTTCCTTGATCATGACTCTAAAATGATTTTTGCAATTTAAAAAGTGTGGTGTGTTTATTGACTCACCGCCCGAACCCCTGTCTGCACTGTCCTTCCGTCCACCTTGCCAGGCTCTGGAGTATACAGTGGACGCCGACTCCTGTCCGCGCTGGTCCCGCCTCAAGCTCGTAGGAGTAACACTACTTGACATGCTGGGAGAAGATAACCTGGGTAGTCTGTTCTGATATAGCCTTACCAGCCCTTCCTCCCTGCGCTCTGTTCTGTCGTCCTAATCTCTGCTCCTTCTTGCTGCCTGACCTTCCTGGCCGCAGGCGTCACGCCTCTGCCCTAGTGAAATCCTGCCAGATGAAGCTGAAGCGCTGCACTGAGACCTCCTCCTCTCCCAGGAACTGGACCTCCTCCTACCACACCGACTTCTTGACAGGCTCCTCACCTGCTCCTCCATCCCTCATCTGACCTCCTGCTGCCGCTGTGCCTGTCAATGTCTCTGCGCTGCTCCCTCCCGTACTCACACCTGCTGACGCTCCTCCTGTGTTCCTGCTCCTGAGAACGCCCCCCAGGGGTCTCCCGCTTGCCTCTGTCCCTTACGTCCATTTTCACCCGACCTTGTCCTCTCTTCTGCCCTCTGCTTGCAGTACCTGGCCTCTCCCTGGCCACCTCATCCACTTGTGGCCCCTTTAATTAATCCTGGTTGCTGGCCTTCCCCTCCATAGCTGCTCTGCTGTGCCTGTGAAGACTCCGCCTGCTGTTTTCACTATCCCCTTCCTTCACCTCTGACCTGACCCTGGCCCCATCCAGGGCCGCCTCAGTCTGTGTCCCGCCGACCTGGACCCCCCCGCCTGCCCGTTGGGGGGGGGGAAACCGCTTTTACACTGCTGGCCCCTTGCATCATACCCCCGTCCCTCAGGTATGCCAACAGGGGCAGACTCACCAGGACGCCTCTTGCCGCTCTCCCTGCCCGGCAGCCATCATGTCATGCTGGATTCCGCTGTCCTTCATGCTTTCCCGCTTTCCCGGGGGCGCTCTTCCTGTGCGGCCTCATCATGGCCTGCCACCTTGCCTGACCGGCGCCGCG